AATCCGGATCTGATTTTTCATACTAAGTAGTGTCGACCTCCACGCAGACTTGAAAGATATGAAAGCTTGATTCAATGTTATTTAAACAACATTATTGTTATTAATATCACTAATTCATTCACTATTATTTATATATAACTGTATAGCCTGATGAAGAACAGGTTTTCGAAAAGAATATTCTTTGTTCAGTACCCATTCTTTTGAAAAATTTTATAGGCATTTTTAATCAGTTAAGTCTAAAACCATTTAGAATCTACTCACTTCAAGTGAATCAGCAGCAATACTTCCAAACGATAACCACCTAAACGTTTATTTTATCAACACTGAAACGGATCGTGACAGCAAGAACCGAACTGTCTTTTTTCATTTGTTTGCGTTCCGAGTGGTACATAAGGCTTCAAGCCTCAATTTGTTTGAACATATCGATAGCAGTGGTATGTTTTTTACAGGATGCTTTTGCTAGCCTTATGCCCAACCCTACCTCTTTCTCAGTCCTATTACAGTCTTTTTGAGGGTTAGAAAGGCGTCGGCCTGAAGTCGAACCTAGGACCACATGTGTGGTTCTCGAGCAACCAACCATTGAACTACCAAACCATCTAATTATTTCAATAAAGGTCAATAAGATGGTAATGGCTATTGCATTCCCATTGTTCAGTAAGCCTCATATGTCCAAAACAAACTGATTAAAGGACATGTCAAGATAAAATGGGTAGATGCACTAGACTAAACAGCGAAGTTCACTATGTTATTTTGTACAAATACAATAACCTTTGTTATGGTATATTTTGCTGTGAATTTTTGTAATTTAATTTAACTTTTGATGAAAATAGATTGTGGTGCAATCAAAAATTTATACAGAGCCAACATCAGCCTGCACCAAACAAAGGATCAGACGCCTGATACCAATTACTTAACACCAAGTGCTCAATCAAAGAATCAATTAATAAATTCTTAATGTGGCGTGACAAGAATTTGTAAGTACTTTATTGTATATGCGGCCAAATTAAACTTTAAGAACCACTAACTATTAATCAGCGAATGACCTTGAATGGCCCAATGAATTTCATCCACGTGAGTTGAAGGTTCTATTCGCTTGATTCGAGTCAAATACCTGCTCTAACGCAGTTTAGTGAGGATAAGGTTTTTTCAGTATTGCTTGGATGTGGGATTGTTTAGGAAGGAAAGGAGTTGTTCATATGGAGGTGTGATGACCATAAAAAGCTTCAGCAGGTTTTTTGATGGACGTTGGCATCGTTGTGCAATTCGTTTGAGATAAGTTAGTGTCAGGGAAGGTAAGCTGATGATTCTTATATTTCGTAGGAACATTTTACCAGGTCCTATCTGTCCTTAACCCAGATTTTGTATATTTGTAATAACTGAGTTTTAAAACAGTCTGTGAGAGGTGCAGCTGCTGAAACTGAAAATAGTCTCGTACCAACAGTCCAATGGTACCAGCACTGCAGAGATATCGCATCATGGAAAATGGCGAAAATTACTTCGTCGTTAGGCGGACGAAGTGTCATCATACACGTGAATAAAACTGTCTTATTGAAGAAAAAATACAACCGTGGTCGTAAACGAGCTAATAATGTTTGGGTGATCGGCATATTTGACACTTCTCTACAGAAAGGATTTGTCGAGAGGATAGCAGATAGAAAGTCAACTACCTTAATACCTATTATCACTCGACTTGTCAGACAGGAATCTATAATACATACAGATGAGTAGAAACGCTAAAAGTCCTTGTCATCCCTGGGATATATTCACCACAGTGTGAAACAGTCTAGTGATTTTGTGGGTCCCATTACGGAGCAAATACCAATTCTATAGAAGGCTTTTGGGGAAGGTTATAAACGGGATCAAGGCCATTAATGGATCTCAAAACGATGTCATTTATAGTCATTTAGATGAATATATATTTATATAATGTGGTGTGACTTTTCAATTGATACTCCTATGCTAAACTGGGAGATGTTTTTATCACATGTAAGCGAAAGGTATCCTAAGTAACAGTTTTATACAGTTTTTATGAGTTTTTTTCTCAAATATTTGTATTCCATAAGTAAAAATGCCTCCTTCATGTGAATGGTGTGTTCAAAGTCATTCGCTGATTGTCTACTGAAGGTTTACTGAATATATACGCTGTAGCACTAAAATTATAATTTTACACTGTAACTTTTGATTCTGTTCAGTGAAAAATACTTTTCACACAGTTTACTTAATTGTTAAGAAAATGTGGCATTCACTTTTATGAACTTCATATAGTACGTGCTAACAGTTGGTCTTATTCACTACTGCCATTTTTTTCATTTCTCAGCGTTTCGGCTGTTTAAAAACAGTGGAGTTTTAGTAGCGGTAGAGTTGTTAGCCTCACGCACAGCATTTTCTCTTTTCTGAACTTATTATCCGGCTAGTAAACTAGGTAGTGGTTAAGGGGTACGTTGGCTGGGATTCGAACCTCAAACCACATGTGTGGTTGGCAAGCATTCTGTCTATGAACCACCGACACTTACTAGTACAAGGGAGATACAAATTCATTTTCTTAACTTACTATTATCCCTGAGGTAAGCATTTTAGACTATTTATGCCTTTGATAATAACAGTATAAAATATCGGTTTGAAATTTAATATCAACGCAAATGATAGGTGGGCGTTTAGAAAAGTGTCTACTGAAAGGAAAATTGAGCATACACATCCTTGCACACATGGCGTATCACTGTTTTAGATGTTCTATTTGGAAAATATTTAAGTTATTTGATTTCATAGGGTATGTTTGATATGATAGTTGTTCAGGTTTATTTCAGACTAACTCAGGAATCCATGTGGAATTCAAACTACCTTATCTAACTATTCTACTGAAGACTACACTACACAGTCCACATTTTTCAACTTGTCAGACAGTGAGGCTATTATTAGCTGTTCATGATGCCTATGCATATTGCTGTTTCAAACCTGATAGACTGAACTTGTTAATGTCATCTACTTCCAAAATTCCATTGACGACGTTTACAAGTTCGTTGGCCGACAACTGAACCATCGACACATGAAAGATTCAGTAATCAATACAAATGAAACTAAAGACATGAATCTACTTTATCTATCATCTTGATCTTTTAATCTAGTTCAATAATTTCCAAACAAATACTACTCACAATACAGCTTAAAATATTTAACCCCCCCCCCTACTCAAAGTATTTCCAAAGTGACAAAATGGTGAATGCTGATGAGTGTCAAGCCGAAACTTACCATTTCTGTTTATGAAGCATAAGTGCTGAGCATGACCTACCAAACTTAAAGTCACTTAATGGTTTTCAGAAAAAACTGAAAGGTTCAGGCAGTGGATATTTTAAAGGCGTCTATTTCATTTAGAGGTCAGCAGCTGGGGTATCTGTAAACATATATTATTAACTTTAGCGTATCTAAAGGTTTTATGCTGAACTGAAAATTAATAAGTGGAATGATTATGATCAAAATGATAACAACAGTCGTATGCCTCTAGTATTATGGAAATTCATAATTATAATATAATTTTTCGGTAGACTTCAAAGGATAACTGGTGGAATAACTTGAAAGTAGCATCTTTGGCTTCCAGAAAACACCGATACTAAGCGATCTTCCCTGTATTACAAATACTATAAATACTCCCCGAATACTTTAACAAAATTAGTGAATTGATGGTTCAGAGGTAGAATGCTCTTCAGTCATGCAAGTTGCAAGAGTTAAATTCCAAGCCGACTCATTCCTACACCTCACCTAGTTCACTACCGATAGGAAGTAAGTCTGGAAAAGAAAGAAGGTTGGTTGTGTGAGGTCAGCAACCCTTTTCCCTATAAAAAATAACACCACAAGTAATTAAGCCTTAAAGCTCAATGGTTGAAGTCCTATGTTCCAATTGGAACACTAAGGAAAGCAAGAACTTTATAAAATACAGTCTAGAAACAAACACAACCCTCTATGACAAATTAACATATGCATACATATATATCACTTGATGTTCAGCGTATATACAGACAACATGAAGATGTTGAACGTAAAATAATTTAAAATATTTAAGTTAACTGGAATACGCTAGACCACTGATAAGAAGACTCTAGAAGATCTGGATTTCGCGTTTGGATGATATATGTCTAATGCCACACAAACTCGAAGACATACAGGCGAAAACCAACAAACCGGCTGAAGAGGCTGGCAGCGAAGACAGGACTACAGGTGAACATATAGAGGACGGAGGTGATGAAGATAACCAACCAACAGCAACAACAACCAGCACCAATCACCACCAAAAGGAGAGATTTAACAGAGATTGCCTCCTTCACTTATCTAGGAAGCCAGCATCGTTTCAACTACAGGCGGAACGGATGAAGATGTCAAAGTCAGACAGAATCGGAAAGACAAGATACACCTTCATCAACCTGAAACCAGTTTGAAAATCTTCTGCACTTAGCCTCAGCCAGCATAAAGAACAAGATTCGCATTTTCAACACAAATGTGAAGTCAGTCAGTTCTTCTATACGGGTCAGAAACTTGGCAACTGTGTCACGAAAAGGATTTCCAACAGGTTGCCTTCACTCCATATTGAAGATCAAATGGCCAGAAACAGTTAACAACAAGAAACTCTGGAAACAAACCAACCAAGAGCCGATCACTCAACAGATATGTAGGAGGAAATGGAGATAGATTGGGCATATACTGAAGAAAATATAGAATGATATTACGCGCAGTGCAGGCCATCGTCCTAGTGGAATCCCAATGGGAAGCGATGAGTGGGTCGTTGGTGCGAGAGTGACGTGGAGTAGATCATGTGAGGAAGAGATGAGAGAGTTTGGGCAGTCGTGGGCCCAGCTGAAGAGGGTGGCAGAAAATAGAAGAAAGGGAGAAAAGTGTTTTTGAAGCCCTATGTTCCACACGGAACCCAAAGAAATAATAACATAGTAATAAATTAACTGGATTTCATAAATATACATACTTAAATTATAGTAGGTAGTAATTAAATAACTTACCTCAATAATGAATGATGTGATTCAAGCAGTGGAGCGTTCGCTTTCTTTTGAACTGAAAAGGTTAAAAAAATTTCAGTACACAGTGTTTTTTGAAATACCACTTGTTTATAAGAAACTAAAACATCAACGCTTAATGGTTAGTTAATATACACCTTGTATGATTAGCACTCACCCTCTATGCCAAAATATTGAAGGAAATAATATAAATGAGGCAATATGACATAAAAAATATTCAGCAGTTAGAACGGAATCCAATGGCCCGTGAATTAGAACTTCTGTCTATTAGAGATTTCTAGAGCCACTGCCAGTCAGTGTCATCAGCAAGTGACTGACTATAAGAAGAAGCTGTCCGAAGTTCTGGTGAGTAGTCATAACCAGCTGGTGTGACCACAAATACTCGTCAGTGATGATGGCTAGCGGTAGCGCTAAAAATTTCGTATTGACGGAAGCTAGAAGTTACAGGCCAATGGATTCTGTCCCAATGGCTGAATGGTCAACGAGCTCGCCTCGTAACCTGAAGATTCAGGAGTCATGGGTGAGAACTGGCGGGGAGTTCCAAAACTGGAACAAAAGAGCTGTCCAGTACTCCCTGGTCTATAATGATTCTCTAACTGATATCAATCCGTGATTAAACTTGAAACTAATCAAATCCTTACAAACTAACATTTGAAAAATAAAAATAAATCTATTCACGAATCCCACCGATAGATTGTATCGTTCACTATTAACAGGCAGAAAATCACTGGGAACTAAGAAGTGATGAGTTAAAATGAAATTAGCCCTAAAGATTTTGCCTAGAAAGACAGTGAGAGCTTTGCAACTCAGCCATCTAACTGATAGAAGAAAACAACACTAAATCCCCCATGTAGACGATGTAGGCTTACTTAGCGTACCCATTTGGAATTTATTATTATTCTGGGTTTCTAGTGAAGCATAGGGCTTCAGTTACTCATCTTCACTTCATCCCTTTCTGTGAAGTCTATTTTTAAAGCTGGCTCCACGATTGTCCATAAGCTTTCACTTCCTTCTCACACCATCTCCACCATGTCACTTTCGGACGTCCATCACCTCCTATTCAGGCTCCACTTGAGGGTTACTGGGATCATAATCAATAGCAAACGTCAAATGATGATGAAAAATGGTTTCACTGGTGAGGTCATCCACTTTGCAATCAATAAATTATCATACGGCAATTCGTAAATCATCTCTGTAAACGTACTGGTACAGATACAAGGTACATTGATATTTCTGACCAATGAACAGAATAAAATCAGTTGTACAGTTAAACAAATATATGCTCATTGCATGCTTAATCACATTTGTAAAATTACTATCACATCTGTGGACATAAAATCAATTTAACAGGATTTCCAGTTGAATAATCTTATTCAACTCTAAGCATAGCTAAATCTAACAATATCAAAGGATGATTTATTCAAATAATCATGATTACAGTAATATCAGTATACATCAAAAATATCAGTTTGATCAATTAATGACTGGTATAATCAGAATTGTGTATCACTGACTCTTTTTAGATGCAAGTCCATTAGTGGTTTTATTAGAAAAGACTCAAATAAACCAACATGGAGAGTGAATATCAATAGAAGAAAATAAAGCGACTATTTAAGCTGGCGGAAGAACTTGAGTGCTGTCCAAAAGTACCTTTGCCGGCAGTCTAATTCAGTCTCTTAACACAGAACACCACTAATTGGTTTCGCATCATCATTTGAGCCTTAATTTAAATTGTTTATAATGTAGATTCTGAAAAAAGTAGGGAACAGTGAAGCTGCTGTTCATATCCATGAAATTTGAAGTAATCGACGAATAGTTTTCCGAAATAGTGGGGGAAACCTGTAGCTCAGGTTGATGACTTTGATATGATTGTTTTTTCTGAGCTGGTTAATTTAACTGCGAAGGTCTCATTGTCTTTCTGGACAACATCTTTAGCTCAGGCTCCAATATGAAGTGAACTCTTGAAGACCTTGCTTCCGATTGGCTATTGATCTGCATTAAGACCTATCGTTTTATTCACTTGAGATCACACTTTTTTGCCCGGTAACTTTTTCTTATTGGTTAATGAATTTTGATGTTACTTAATGTGTCCGTTGATTGCAGATACATCTAAGTAGCAGGCTTCTCAATAACTTATTTCTGATGTTTCCACTGTTTAAAACTGTTACATTTTCCCAGTCAAACCGGTGTTCTTGGTTTTCTGCATTCATTGACATAAAAGAATATATGTTGCATCTTCTGCCATCTAGTATATGTCCTCGGGCTCAACTACTTTGACCAATAAAGTGCCTTCCACAACTGGTGCAATTTTGTAAGAAATATTGACCTTGTCTTTTTTATACGTTAGGAATAGCATGATTATTTTGCCTTGTTTGTCATATCTGTTTCGAATGATTTTAGTATTCTAGCCGTTATTTTAGAAACATTCTTCAAATACAGGACGGATTTCCTGGAGATGAATTCATACTGGTTGTTTGATTCCAGTTCAGTCTCTTCTACTGGAATTGTAGAGATATCCATTTTTTGGTCACAGGATTTCATTATGAGCTGACATCGCTTAGAAAACCAGTGGAAGACCTGGAAGTACTGGACAACTTAATGGACTATGAGCACTCCTTGTAACCCCGCAGTGTGGGTGCGTCCTGCTGAAGAGTCCCAGACTAGGACGAAACAGCTGTCCAGTACTCCCAGGTTTTCCAACGATTCTCTAACCGATGTCAGCTCATGATGAAATCCTGTAACCAATCAGTGAAATCCCTACAAACCAATACTTGAATATCCATTTTTCTTGAAGGCACTTGTTAGAAGTTTCCTCAGGACTGGAATAATTTTTGTACTGAGTATTTTTGTATGCTGTTGAAGTTTTCCTCTCACAGCTGAGTATTTGGTCTACATGGGCTGATCTTCTGTATATTTGTGTTTCCAGACTTCCTATGTCTGCCCTCTTAAATAAGACAGTTAAGAAAGGAATTTTGTTGTCTGATTCTTCTTCTCTTGTGAATTTAACATCTTCAGATACGTTGTCGATTAATTTATGAGTGTAGTCTAAATCATTTCTTCCAGTTATGACAAATCTTTCAACAACATAACATAACTAGATTTTTGATTTAATTATTTTTAGAGCATAAAAAAATTATCACAACTTCAGCAGATAAATTCTCTCTTACAAACCGTAACACATTAAAATCCAGGTACTGAAGCCATGCATACTAGAATGATAAAAGACGTTGAACAACGGTCAAATCAGTTAACAGAATTAATCTACTATTACACCAACTACTCTTCTAAATTATGGGAGGAATTTTCGACATATTGCCTCAACTGTTACTACAGTGTTACAGATCGATGAATATAAACAGTGGATCATACAGTTTTACTCTCTAACTTCCACTGAAATCCAAACATTGTTTTTTACGCCTATAAGTACTTATCTATTGTTCAGTCAAGTGTTCAGTCTAGTCAACTTTAGCGTTTTTCATTAGTTTATTGATGTGTTTGTATGTGACAGTTGTTGAAGAGTATAATTATAAACAGTATTGCGTAAAATTTCATTTTTTTAATCTACTCATGTGATTGTTTAAGTGATATGGTAAAACAAACAAACGGAAGAAGAAGAGGAAGAACAAGCAGAACTATGGAAGCACGTGAAATATCCGAATTGAATTTATTTCGTTTAAGGATGAATACATAATCCCATACTGCCATAGCAGAAGTAGTATAGACGATCAGTGTATGTAAGCAAAACTTTCAAGACAGCTGCAATAATTTCATTGGGAAAATCGGATTTGTGAAAAAGTTATTTCCAAGTTTTGGCTTCCGAGGATTTGAATGATTTCAGGCTTAATCATGAGTTGACATAAGGTAGAGAACCGGTGGCAAACCGAGTAGTACTCAACAGCTGTTTCTTACTGATCAAGGACTCATCGGCAGATAGCACCGAACAGGGTCTGAAACCAGAACCTTCTGGTTACAAGGTGACCTCATAGACTATTCAGCTACTTACTGATTAGGGTCCCAGTGATAGAATGGTTTATGAGCTCGCCCTGTAACCGGGAGTTAATCTCACATGAGACTTGAGACTCTTAAAGTAATATTAGAAATCTCAGGAAAATAAGACATTAATAATATGAAAAATCACTGATTTATATTCAAATACGTGGAAAGTAATTGTAGACAGTAATCGCTTACCCTCTTCAAGTCTCTTTTTGCGTACAAGTATTAGAATAATAAGCAGAGCAGTGAAGAAAAGCAGTAAAGTACAGACAATAATAAACCATGTTCCACTATCACCAGCTAAACTTCCTGGACTTGGACCGCCTAAAGTGTGTATCAGTCTGTCTTCACTTGTTGCTGACAAAACATCTCCATTCGTAGCAACCATTCGAACTGCATATGTTGTATCTGTAAAAAAAACAATAAGCAATTCAAATAGTCCAAAGAAAACAGAAATTCCTTAGGGATTAAGAAAAACATTATTTGTTGAACTAAATCACGCTTTAAGGAAAAAAGCTGTACACCCTCAGTACATGCCCTAGTAGGACTAATTTCCGGGATTCCAATAGCTTAACAGCTAAACATTACTGAGGAGATCATAGAAATCCTTTGTCTACTTGTAATCAAATAAAAGCTCATAAAAGTTCATGTAAATATGAATTTTATTGCAAACTTTGTATATATATTGAAGTAAAGTATGTACTTGGACTACTGAAATATTCCCATAAATTCACTGAGAAACATTTATTTCCCCATCAGAAAAAACAACAACTGATCATACAGGTGTATAGAAAAGCATAGCATAATTACTGGTCAATAGATATATCCCTTTTTTCTCCCTTTTACTTTCATGCTAATGCAATTTTGTGAATAAAAGTTCAGTAGTTGATAAATGATAAATGTAACTCAATGTAACATCGAAAAAAATATCTTCCCTAATGACTAAAAATCAAATTATCATGATCTAATATAGATTACCAAATCTGGCTAGTCAGTTCATTGTTAATCGTAACACTATTTGAAGTTTTTGGAAGCTTAAACTCAATACAATTATTCAGATAAGCAGACTGTTATCATATAAACAGGACAATATATACTACTGACTAATTTACATGAGTAGTTGAATACTGCTCATTTCAATCGATAGTAATTGCGAGCCAGATCGAAGTGATTCACATGCTGGGCGACCATCTCGCCTATTTGGGACCGACAGCTCATCAGCTATGTGCTTGGTTCGACTCACTTTAGACAGTAGAATGGTAGAAAAAAAGATATTTTCATAAGTATTTAATGCACCTAAAAAATTTCATCTACAACCGAAGAATTCAGAAGATTTACTGTTTGGATTTCTACTATATATATTATTCCTTTGCGTTCTGAGTGGGACATAGGGTTTCAAGGTTGAGCTTTGAACTGTCGGCAGCACTGACGTTTTTCTACTGGGTGGGGTCCATGACTTCACGCCCAACTTTCCCTCACTGCTTGGCTTACAATTGGCTAGGGGAGGTAAAGGTGAGCGCTGATCAGCAAGAGGACACCGGCCCACGTACATAGTTGGGAAGCATTTTACAGCTGAACCGCCGATGCACAGCGGTAAAATGGATTTCTATTATTAGGGAGAAATGGTTACTTCTCTATTGACAACGAAGTTACTTGGCAACAGGATGATAAACGCTTTATATCTCAAGTGAAAATTGCCGATAAAAGTGTGTGTAACATATAAGACTACTCGGAAAAATAAATCATCGTCGGAGTTAATACTCAAAGCCAGTTATACAAACAGTAAACTCTGCCGACAAAATTTATAATACGGACGTAAAAATCGAAATGTACATCTTGACAAGTGATAAATTATGATCAAAGATAAAATATTCTATATGCTGCTTCTTATATGGAAGATTTATTCTTTTATTACTGGATCGATAGAAATCTCCTACTACTAATCTCCACTACTTACTATATATAGACAAGTGTTTGATTTCTTTTGTTCTGCTGTACTAAACACTTTTTCATTTAAATAAAGTTCCAATTTCACATTCTACTAACGCCATGTTTTTTTTGTTTTTTTTCCTTCACGTTCCCCAGTGGAACATAGGGCTTCAAGCTATTGGCTTGAAGTTTCTGTAGCAGTGTTTATTTTTACGGGATGGGGTCGCTAGCCTCATGCCCAACCTTTCCTCTTTACCAGCATTATTTCCGGCTTAGCGAGGTAAAGGAGTGCGTCGGTGGCCGGGGATCGAACCCCTGACCATGTGAATGGTCGGCGAGCGTCCTAACAGCTATGCCACCGACGCACACTAACGCCATGCGTCATGGATATTTATTCCGTCAACTTTCATTTTGTACCTCATGCTTCAAGATAGTTTATTAATTAGTTGTATATTCATACACGTGCTACATAATAGTGGTGCAAATAAAATAAACGATTCAGTGTAGCGTAATACTATAAAAACAGTTTCGATTTATTCTTTACCTGACATAAGTGCATCAACAGTTATTGTCCGATTAATAAATGTACGAACTGATTCTAACCAATGAACTATACCAGGTTGACGATATTGTACAAAGAATACAGTTCCCGGTTGACCATTATGACTAGGTTCATAGATAACAGTGAAACCAGTCTCAGTAACACGAGTGATAACAAATGTTGGTGGACTTGGAGCTAAGAAAAAAAAGAACACAAATAAACACGCAACGATACAGTAATAAAGAAAATCAACTTTAAATTTCTTAAGAGTAAGATAATCATTAATTCTGTCACAATAAAAATGAATATAATACAGTAAACTCCATCTGATTAACAGAATACCCAAGACTCCAAGCTTAATCTTATTTTACGGACTGGGATTGCTAGCCTCACACCAAGTCTTCCCTCCTTATCAAACACACTACCAGCTAAGAGAGGTTCAGGAGTGTGTGTGTTGGTAAGGAATCGAACCCGAAGCAAATGTGTCGTTGGCAAACACTGTACCACTGAAGCACCAACTCAAAGAATGCATAATGGCTTTGTTTTGGAAATGGAGTATTTCAGTACTATTCCCATTTGACGACAAGAGGATGGAGGAAAAATTACAACTAACTGTCCATAACATAGAAATGTAACTGTATTTACCGAGATCTCATTGCGATAACGGTAATGAATAATAAAAAAATGTCGAAAAACAATAATAATTTCCCACATTTATTCCGCTTAATGAATTTGAATAAAGCAAGAACAACAGTTTTTGCAGAATAAAATGGTACCATCATTTATTTCGTTGGCTTCTCATCAGCTCCTTACAGCCTAAAGTCATTATTAAGTATATCTACAGAAACCACTTTAACATACTTGCAAGGAGTCCATTTTTTAGACAAAAATCAATCATTATATGCATACAGTAATAATATATATAATAATAAACACTTTATCAGGAACAATATTGAGCATACACAATAGAAACTTCCGGCATTACGTAATCAGATGAAGATATCCAGTTACCAGGGCAAGGAAAGACTGATAACTGCTTCTTTCTGAACCCACAAATCAGGTTTCAGGCGCTTGATAGAGATGGCTTCAGCAAACTTGAGGAGAATTGAACTCTTTTGCCTATTGATAATTTCGAACGGTATTGTGACGTTCACCTCATGACCCGTGTCAAGGAGATGTCTGGCTATGGCACTGCTGAAAGTATTTGTTTCCTTGAGGCGTAAGTTTTTCGGTACATGTTCAGAAATCGGAGGTGTGCCCTCCTTTCTGTCCTCCCAATGTAACCTCCTGTGCAGATACACTTAAGTTTGTATACACAGTTCATAGGAATTTCATATCACGGAGTAGTATATTTGATAATATATTCACACATAAGGTTAGAAATAGTCAAACGAAGATATATCACATCTTTTTTCAGAGACCAGTAATGGGGATTTTTAGTACTATAGTCCATTATGACATCACCAAACGAATAAAATTCAATAGATTTATATAAATAATACATAGAATAAAGCTATTGGTCAAAAGGAAATTGATATCGCTTAATTTCGTGTTGAAATAGATACGCTAAGTCATATTCACAGTTTGGAAGCTGATTCACAGTTTTGCAGATTAATTCTCGATTTACACAGTTCACCATAGCTTCCTTTGGAAACAGAGATTATTCAAATCACAACATCTAATCTGACTGATACTATACACGGTAATCAAGAAACTAGGCGTAAATACATAAAACTGCATACTACTGATTGTTTGAGATGAGTAGTTGTATACCACTCATATCAATCAGTAGTGTTTATTAGAAGCCAGGTGTTTTGAACTGAGTCGGCAATCTAAATTGGGCCAAACCGAGTAGACAATTGATGAACTCGGCCCCAAAGGAGCGAGATGCTCACCCGGTGTTCAGATCACTTCAGTCTGGCTAGTAAACACAACTGTTGATTTAGGTTTATACAAGTACTCACCTCATTCAATCAGCAGTGTATGGACTTATGTAGATACACAACTATTCGCTGCTCGACTGAGATCTATTAGTGGCACCTTTTTTTCCGGAAAACGTTCAGAAGATGAGTTTTAACGGGACAGTTAAAATATAAAGGCATTTAGAATAATGGATATGCTTAAAATTGTCTGTATATTCACAAATTAAAAATAGAATATTTTGCGGAAGTTTTGTACTCATTTAACTGCTTTTTACATTATAAGTATTGCTTATTTTTTCTGTACCAATGAAATTCTGCTAAGTTGTCTCTGCAAAACTGAATCTATTCTTTTGCGTTTTGAGAGGATTACATAAAGTCAATAGCCTTAACATAAAAGTGAATTTTGATTAAGCAGACTCTTCATATCTGTCTACGTAGGTCTCCTCATTCAAGCCTCTGATAATTTTGAGGTGACCAAGAATTCACTGTAATACGACAGGGTACTTGAATCACTGGGCTAGCTGAGTTTCCATCCAAAGCAATGTGTGAGGTTTCCTCTATTTCTCTTTGTTTCAACCATCCAATCCTGTTCGTCTGTCGCCAGATGTGCTCGCACATATTTTAAGTTGCCTTTTAGCCTACTGCTGCGCATTCCTTGTCGACGAAAAAAATATCTTAAGGGATTACTTAATCTTCAGATAGAACAGCGCTGCGTCACATGATGTACTTCAAAATGCCATTTTACGTCAAGATCCTGGATGGATAGAAAATATTACGCAATAAACTATGCTGAAAATCCTGTATGCTGTTACTATTGTAACAACAGAAGACAAGGGCCAGGCAACAGATCGTTTATTAAGGAAAATCAACACATATTTATAGATTTTAATGTACATTATTGTAGATTATTGTTAGTAGAAAATACAGTCTTTTGATTGGTTGTTTCTCACACAAAGTTAACCTTGCATCTCTTGTGGCTGTGTCAGTTTATCTACATGTTAACTGTATCCGCCTGTCCATCTTGACCTTGTTTTCACATGACTAACATTGACCTCAATTACTGTCAACCAATTTGGCTAGCAACCATCTCTCACCACACTATTACTATTAACTCTACATTAATTAAGAAATAATGGATTAGTAGATGTGAGATACTTTCCATGTGATGGACATTTCTTTCTTTCTCTACTCCAAGACTTTCCATTCTAAGTAACTTCCCTAATAGCATAATAATTTTCTGAACTAGTTCAATATTTACCACTTGCTTTTAACTAAATCAACTGGTTTTAAATATAAGCTCACTTGTGAAGCTTTCGATGATAGTATCATTCCACAAATACCTACTTTAATGTGATATTGTAACGGCAGAACACAGAACTGGTTGGTAACGGAGTTACTATTGGCAATTTGATATACACATATACATAAATAGTCATTTGCACAGATTTCCCATCTTCCGCTAATTCTGTCCTTCGTTTTGTGTTTCTTTGTCTTCTTTTTGTGCCTCCCATGTTTTGCCGTAAGAGTGGTTCATTTCCTCTCCAAGGCGTCAAATCTGTCTCTCCGCAATTTAATGTTTATGTACTGATGATATTCTCTTTATAAACTACTGATAAATCTTGTAAGTAGCACATGCCACAATGTCTTTGTTCTATGAACAAAATATGCAAACCTTCCACTCGTAAGAATACGTCTTCATCCTAATCAAAGTCATATTACCGTCTTAACCAACTTATCGGTTTAAATTTACTTACAAAAGGAATTAAAGCCCACAGCCGGTTTCTACATTGAAAACTTTAAAGGTTAGTGGAAATATTTGCCCAAGAATTAGTTGAGAAGTGCCACTTGTAGTAAAAAGGAATAACAACAGTCAATTACTAACTGTTACCAACAAAATAACCACTGTTGTGTAAATACTACAATAAACTACCTTGATCACTTGGAGCAGTTCGTATGTCAATGAAATTATCAACGCCAAGACCAGCTTTAGTAGTCGGTGATACAGTTATACGGTATGTTGTATTCCCTTTTAGCCGAGACATTCGATAAGATGTTGTCATGTTGTCTGTAATCCGAGGGTAACGGAATCCATAGCCAATATCCAATCCATTCACTGAAATGTTTTATAAAAAAACTCGAGATAAAGGAATGTTATGGGGTGAAGAATCTCTTTTAAATGCATCAAAACTAGGAAAATGAAATATTTGTTCCCTTTAAATCATTGTGAGCGTGATTGTTTTTGAAATTTCGAGTTAAAACAATGTGATGCAAACAACATTAAATAGTTGACATATCTTATGGATAGATTATCCAGCTATCTTCATCTGTTTCCATTCGAAACATTTTGAACTTTATCTATATCGGTTAGTAACTTTTAAACAATAAATTCAGTTATACAGAGTGATTCTAACTAATACCCATCAAACCACACAATCCAACACAGTATTCACTCCTCCCATTCCGAGTGGAACATACGGCTCCAAGCTTTAAAGTCTCAGTAGCGGTGGCTTTGTTTTTAAGCGGAGGCTCGGAATTCTCTAATCTCACTCCCAGTTTCCTCTCTTTTCCGGAATTACCACTGACCTAGCCGGATTTGGAAGAACAATAAGTAAATGGTAAGTCGGAAATGATTGAAACACCATTTGGGAATCTCATGGTTGTTGTACTTCAGTAACTTCTTCGTTTTGACAAAGCCCTATAATAGGAATGATTGCAGATCACTCAAAGGGATATCAGGCTATCACTAAAATCATTTTCTTTTCATTCCTTTGCATTCCTAGTGGGGCACAGGGCTTCAAGCTTGAACTTTGAAGTTTCAGCAGTAATGTTGTTTTGTTCACAGGGGGTGGTCACTAGCCTCACGCCCAACTGTCCCTCTTTTTTGGGGCCTAATATCTACTAGTAAACTGGGAGAGATTTATGGGGTTCGTTTGCTGGACATCGAATTCCAGACCTCGTGCATAGTTCACAAGCATTCTATCACTGGATTACCAACGGAAAAAAGTTATTCCTAAATCTATTATTTTACCTTAAAACAATCGAAAACAATAAATCATTATCATTTTGTTAATAAACTAAACGGAGCTATAAGTTTTATAGATAATTATTGGTAACTAACATTCCATAGCTTCCAATTCATAACCGGTTATATATCCATTGGGTTCAGTTGGTAAAGACCATGACACATCCACATAATTAACACTGATTGCATCTGATTTTAAATTGGTTACTGGTCCAGATACACCTTCAGGTGTAGTTAACTCAATAATAGGACTAGTAGAAAATAGATAAATAAAAGGTTTGGTAAATATTATGAAACTTACTGCTAGAAAGAAAAGATTACATGAAATCTATTCACTGAAAAGACAACGTTAAATGTAGTAAATACCAATGAAAAGTGCTTATTATTTCAAAAAAATTCTATCCATGAGCGTCTGGTCATGTTCAAATACCCTACTACAGGATAACGATCGTTCTGTGGAAATTGAAACACGTAAATGTAGACTTCCAATAAAACTGAAAGACTGGTCGTAACCACTAACTTAACTAATCATTACTGCATCGCATATCTTGCATTCATATACTGATGGAAATTTAAGAATAATTATATCACTATACAGAGTTAAGCGAAACTTAAAAACTGTCAGTCAGATTTCCAGATCATCCAAGTTACAAACTCTTATGTAAGATTCAAAACTTGAAAGTTACACAGCATATACTGTTCAGATAATGTCAAATATACTTTTCGACGAATTCATTCACAGGTGAACTGATATGTTCCAAGAGAAGTGGCCAGATGCAAGGTTTTTTCCTTCAGGCTTTTGCATACCATTGGATGACTGGCAGAACATTGATCTTAGCGGTGCTGCGAAGAAGATTCTCCTCAAAGATGATAAAATGTGCATATATCAGTTCTCCTGTTCCTGTGGAGACGGGCATATTGGTCATTCGACACGTATCCTGTCTAAAATGATTCAAGAAAACCATCCCACATAGTTGCGGAAAGACAGTAAGGATGCTATACTATAAGCAGTGCGATGATTGGACATCTTGTAGAGACTTGTCATTCCATCCCAACAAACTCATCCTTCTAAGTGTTCTACAAAGTGAAGGACTACCTATCAAAGACAATAAGCTTTCGTCTCCCTTGTATTAGTCAAGCTGTAGTTGTTCAGAGAAAGAAGCCGGAGCTCTACATACAAAAGAAAATCATTCAACCACTTCTACTACCGTGGTAACAACCTTGTTGTTTTCTAACTCTTCACAACTCTTGTATTCACTGAGAATTCGTACGTGGTTTCATAGTTTCGTAAGTTTCTGTATGTATCTCGATTACAACCCATTTATTAAGTTATTCATTTTATTACGCAACTCTGACACACTTATTCAACTCCTCTAATGCATTGATTAATATTAACAACTATGTTTGTGACAACTCATCATTTTGTTACTCTCCTCTTTTGTGAAAAATCCTATATAAATGCGATTGTACAGTCAAAGAAAATGAATTTGCCGAAAAGAGCCTCTTCGCTCAACTACCTGTTTTGTTTTCATTAATGTAATAAAGGTGTTTAATATCGATCAATTTCTGATGCATCTAGGTTTCGCAGTTGTCAGCATAGTATACATGTAACCTCAAAGGAACTCATGTCCTTTTAGAAATTTAAATTCATGTCATTCAATGCTGCAGTCAGAGATATAACGACTGGGATATCCTCAGTGCGATCCACCTCCCGCGGGACTGTAAGGGATACACTTATTGATCACTGAAGGGTGACTATTATTTTATTGTCTAATCCCTAAAGTCGACTGAAATCTGTCAGTCAAGCTCTCCAAGTGATCATCAAGCTAGACGAGTAACTGTGGGATCTGGATTTCTCAGTAGTAAAGCCGCTGACTGCTTCACTGAATAATGCTAGTTCGAATCCTAGAGGGGACACAGGTTCGTTCAAAGTCTCATATATGCTTTTCGGACGAGTACCTCAGTGCGCAGAACCAAAATCTAAGGGTTTGGGACGATCAACTCGAACCATTTAATGTCAGCTTAAAGTGTAATAATTCTTACTCCGTTTCGATCAATAAATATGTTTAATATATTGTACTAATTACAAGTATGTCAAGGTATGAGTGCAACTTTAATAATTTTCAACATTTAATACCAAGAGTTTAAGTTTTCTGTTCACTAGGAAACTAAACTCTTCGTAATAAACTTTAGTGACCTTGAATACAACTAAATTTACACGCGAAATTTTAACTTGATAAAGACTATAACGTCTATAACTTAAATGCTTAGAATTTTAATAAAAAGCTCCAACACATGTAATTTACACCATATTTAGTCATTTTTAGTCAAAAGTTCTGATATGTTTACCTTGCTGGACCTGCATACTTATTAGTTAAAATTCTTAGCCATAATTTAATATTTGTTGCACCAGGAACTCCTGTGAGTAGATAGTCTATTAGTGCACCCGACTGGACGTCAGCTGGAATTGATTGACTACTTGAAGGATTAGCTGAGGGAACAGCTTGACGCCTTCTGCGTGCAACTAACATACTGTAAGCATCTCCAAGAACAGAGGGCGACTGAGCAGCTCTTGGAAATAAACCGGCTCCTGGACAAGATATATTTCGTCTTGGTGTACTTTCACAAATCGGATTAGGAACTTCTGTCACCAGTGAACCCATAAGCCATCGATAATAGGCTTTTGTAGATGCAGGAAGATAGCGCTCTAAAAGTGATTCATACGCGTGAAACATATCACCTTCAGATGTAGTTGGATGATTCACTGTTTCTGAAATTGCATCCACTGATCTTCGTCGACGGTTGGTATAAAGTACAGGAGTATTGGGTACATGAAATATTAAATCCTAAATCCATTAGGCGTAACAAAATAAAAATCAGTTACCAACAGAAATAAATAAAGGAAAATGTGCATATATTTTCACACTCTATTTGATTATGCATCCAAAGTAAGTTAAATGTGCAATTCGGAAATTAATTTGAGATTTACTCCTTACACATTTCCTGATAAAATTTCACCACAGTTAATTTCGGAAACCAAAATTGTTCAGATTACAATATGTGACCTGCTTGAGGTGATCACTAACAATCAGGAAATCAAGCATAACCGATATATACTACTGATACCTTGGTATGATGCCACTCATATCAACCAGTACTAGCCGTTAGCCAGGTAGCAATCATCTAAATGCTGGGTAGTCGTTTTTCCCTTTTGGGGTCGAACTCATCAGCGGTGTATCCATTTTGACTCAGTTCAGAGAACCGAATCATTTCAAACCACAAGCATTTTAGCTAACTACTTGGGTGAACTGGTATAACGTTAAATCAGAGTTCAAAGTACCTGGGTAAAATAAGTAAATTCCAGACTAAGCTAAAGCAAACGAAAGATACAGTAGTATGTTTGAACTTGAAAATTATGACTACGAGATAACTTACTGAATACTAAATATTTCCAAAACTTCTATCCAGTTAGTATAAAATTGTTATAGTGGCCTTACACTGGGATATTCTGCTGCTCTAAATGTCTTACTACTCAACTCATTCTATCGCTTTAACCTAAAATATGCTCCCCAATACGAATAATTTTATTCCCAAAGCATAAAAAAGGTTTCTGGTATGCATCAAAGTTATCGGGATATAGTGCAATAGGTGTGTGTAAATTTTAAATCAAAAGAATATGTTACATTTGAATAGCTGATCAAGAAATTGGATGTCGTTAACTGGATAGAATCATAACACTTCCTACTCAGATACTGATAATTCATTTGTCTTCAAATATCTATGTTTCTACCTTCAACAAAATTTGATAAATGCCTTGTGTCATATGTTGCAGTGATTACAAATCAGCTGTAAAATATCCAGTGTTGGTCTGCAGGCATTTGATTGATTTCAGATTAGGTTATGAATCAGTAGCCTACAGATTATTGATCCAGTGCTCTACTAGCTGACCTGGAAGAAGGAAGTAAGAATTCATGGACCGTTGGGTTCTATCCCAGTGACTGAAAGGTAACGTGTTCACCTCATAAATTTGCGATCCCAAGTTCGATTCCCAGTGAGTACATGAGTGCGTACTGATGAAAAGTTCTAAACAAGAGCGAAAAAACTGTCCGATAATCTTTGCCTTCCAAAGAGACTGTCTGCCTCTAACTGATATCAGATTATGATGAAATCTCACTTTTTAATACTTAAATCTTTAAGATACATTTTGTTTGTAAACACGATTCTGTTTCATTGTATTAACTCATGACTTAAGATATTAACACATCATTAAAAATTGCTTCTTTGTGACTCTATAAACGAATTTGGCATGCTTTGAGAGCGTAAGTTATAGTATGATTAAATTTCAGTAAGTTGCGTGAATTCTGATTATCTGATCACCAATATTTTGTGTAGATAGGTAATGTTGAGAAGAAACAAAAGACAAAAGTAAATTTCTTCACGAAATTATTCTTTCTGTTGTTTTTGGGGGCCTACTTGAATCACTGGACTACATGCACTTCCATCCGATATAGTGTATGAAATTTTGTCCATTTCTATTGTTTTAATCATTCAATTATGTCCTTGAATCTCAAAATCTACTAACGCACATTTTAAATTGGCTTTCAACCTACTGATATGCATTTCTCGAGAGAAATGAAGGAAAAATATCTTAATGGGATTAGTTTGTGCCTCAGATAGGAGAGCGCTTCGTCACACAATATGTTATCGATTACTATTTTACATGAAGATCCTGGACGAGGAGGAATGGTGATAAATTACGCCAAGAATTTTCTATATTTCGCATATGTTTTATTCAGAATGAAGCTGTTAGTATTATTATTACATATATCTATACTACTTTATTTAAAATTTATGAATTTCTGATTTCCATAAATACAAAACAAAACATTCGGTTAGCTTACTCTGAACTGCTTTTTAGCATCACATTTTGTTGCATCTAAACTTGCATCACACCATTCAATTCGGTAACCACGGAAAAATCCTCTAATATTAGCCTTTTCATTAGCTTCTATTACTTTCAACCGTAGAAGAATTCCTTGTGAAGTTGTATTTAATAGAACTGGAGCAGGTGGAGCAACTGTTGGCATAGCTTCACTAGAATAACCTAATGCCACAGTAGGTGATTGAGTACTGTCACCTTTTTCATTACGACTTTTAATAGTTACCTAAATGTAACAAATGAATAAAAAAGTTTGAAATGATCATCTCATATAGAATGACAAAGTTAGGAAAATCAGTGGATTAAAATATTGAGAAATGTACTTCATTTGTGTTTTTAAACAAATTTAAACAATGCATATCTTATAAACGAAAAGACTAATAAAACATAATAATGATTCATTCACAGCGCGTTTTATAATAGTAGTTTATCTAGTATCATGTAATGATGTTAAAGTTGCACACATACATGTACATATTTGAATAGTCTGCAGTGACTCTTAATTTAAAGGTAGGCACCAAAATGGTTTGGTGTGCTAAAGACTTCACCTAAATCAGGAAGTTTCACCAGCATTAATGAGCTGAGTACTGACGAAATCTTGTTTGTCGTTTGTCAACTGGCATTATCTTCGGTGCCGATTTAACATCCGGCTACCAATAAAAACGTGTGAACTGCACAGTAGTCCATTCCGTCCATCTTTACGGTTGCAATCCATGACCGTTGAAAGTGGAAGACAGGAAGAGGTCAGTCATCTTTAACCATAGTTGTATAAGTTTTATCTTCCGTGTTAAGCTGTATAATATTGCGAGCAAAACTGAAGGCACACGTCAAGTGTAAGGTAGGGATTGGAGAACAATCGCCTAGGTTGTGAAGCTGCATAGATTTAGGTGGCTAGGACACATGATACGCACAACAAGCCATCTCTTTCTTTGTCGAACAATGTTAGTTGACGTAGGATTAGGTTGGAAGAGATCTAGAGGTGGTCATATCAAAAGATAGGATCAGTCCATGAAATTTTTGACCACTGGTTTGAGCCATGTAAGGAGGCGTAGACTACCCGACTAGAGTACTTGAGACACTAGAAACCAGTGACTAGAGACTGATCATGATATGGCTCAAAGTCGTTCTCAATATCTTAAACTCATCCAATATTTGTGATCTTCCGGATCCATTAAATTCTCAGTATTCTCCGCTTAATTATTCCTCCTACGGTAAATTACCTTTTATTATAGTCGTTTTGAATATCTTCTCCTCTAAATTTATGTGTAGTTTGTGAATCGTGGCAATTTAAACTGCTTCAGTGTTGTGCAAAGCTGAGGTTGCATATATGTAAAAGTGATCGGTCGCCTATTAGACAATTCCAACAGTGTGATCTAGATAAGTAAACCCTAATGAAATTTGAAAATCCCAATAAAACTCAACTTTACCAATGCGTGCAGCTGTACACAACCTTGCAATACAGTGGGATAAAGTGACAGTCTTAAAATCTAAATTAACAGAATGGTGATAGATACTGAAAACAGAAGTCTTGTTTTTCAAGTATTGGTTTTTGTAGGGATTTCGTTTGATTGGTTGGAGGATTTCATTATCAGCTGACATCAGTTAGTGGGGAGCTGTAACCAGCTGGGTGCAGCACGTCGAAGGTGAGGCAGTAATTCATCAGAGAAGACGTTGGCTAGTGGTCGCGCTATGTCACTGATTGGCAGAAGTTAGAATTCATGGGCCACTGGATCGGGTCCCAGTGGCTTAATGGTCTACGAGCTTGCCTTGCAACCAGAAGGTCCTGGTTTTGAACCCTGTTGATGGGTGCGTACTGCTGAAAAGTCCCAAAGTAGGACGACAGAAACAGGTGTCCAGTACTCCTTGGTGGTTTTCCAATGGTTCTCTAACCGATGTCAGCTCATGACGAAATCCTCCAACCAAAGAAGTCTTGTTTATCGAATTAACTGTGAACACACACAGTGGAAGTGATTTTTGATGACTTTTTTTACACCCAGGATAAAAATGTTACTTGAATACCATTCCAAGATGGAGGACATATACACACTCTTATGACTTCAGTGCATACGAATTTACGAACTCAAATATTTTATGCTTTAGAACAAATTATTATTGATTTACAACGAATCTATCCCATTGTTGGAAATATGAATATAACACATGTTTTACCAGTACAGTACAGAATAATGCACAAAATGATAGTGGAAAAATACCAGTTATTTGAACTGCCTTCTAGGTGAAAACCAATATGGATATTAGGTGTTTGTAGGTTACCGTTATTTGTTGATCTATTATTGTACTTTTTTAGTGGCTAAACTATTTCAAATGTATGACAGTCAAATCGATAGTTTATGCCCATAATTCAGTTCTCTACAAAATAACTCATCACCTATTGTTTAAGTTATTCACATTTCGCGTTGATTGTTTATATCGGACCGAAATGTTCGCTTTCTGTTGACATATCGGCTTCTAGTATGGATGCTTCAACGAAGCCTGGAGATGAACATAACACTGGTTTCGTCCTATTTGAGACACATCATCTGGATACGCCTGCATCTTCAATCAGTGATGGTGTTCGGTGATTAGGCTCGAACCATGCACCCATTGTTTAAAATACAACTGGACAACAAGTGATACTTCTTATGCAGCGGGCGTCAGTCATTATTATTACTATTTAAGTTAATTTTCATTTTCCATTGATTGCTTACGCTGCATAGAAATGCTGGGTCCGACTGATGACTCTTACATATATTTATATAATTTATAGAAATACTGTCCATGACTAAAATTCCACTCTTAATATTTACTGATATTAACAACAACAACAAAAAATAGCAACTTACACGAAATAATTTATATGGTTCAATCTCTGAAACTAAAGTACCAGCTTTAAATGAAGTATAGACAATACGATCAGTTCTCCAATCCCCGATTGTTGTACTATTTATTGCATCTTGTGGAACTGAAGCACAATTCAAGCATTGAACAGTTAGTATATAGCCTAAATTATTTCCATTATGTTCTATATACGGAAGAGTCTATAAAATAGAAACGTTGTAAGAAAATAACAAATGTAAGGCTTAGACTACTAGAGTAAGTATATACATACATCTGTATATACGTATATATATATATATATATTGCATGGAGGATTTCATCATGAGCTGAGATCAGTTAGAGGACCACTGGAAAACCTGCAGGGAGTACAGAACAGCTGTTTTGTCAGCCTAGTTTGGGACTCTTCATCAGTACGCACCCACAGCCAGGGTTCAAACCCAGGACCTTCTGGTTGCAAGGCAAGCTCGTAGACCATTAAGCCACTGGGACCCGATCCAATGGCCCATGAATTCTAACTTCTGCCAATCAGTGACATAGCGCGACCACTAGCCAATGTCTTCTTCGATGAGTTACTGCCTCATCTTCAACCTGCTGTACTGATGAATAGTCCCAAACTAGGACGAAACAGCTGCGCAGTACTCCCAGGTTTTCCAGTGGTTCTCCAACTGATGTTAGCTCATGATGAAATCCTCCATGCAATCAAACAAAATCCCTACAAAACCAATACTTGAAAATATATTTATATGTAACGGAATTAAAAAATGCAAGCATTCATTAGGTCGCTTCTGTACCAAAGAAAGCTATCTTTATTAACCTACCACTAAAGGGTGACCAGATTATGCACTTGACAGCTAAAAGACTTCGGTCAGCCATCAAACGCACATTCTACGCCGCATCTCTTTCCCTTACATGCCGAAAATTCTTTATCCTTGTATCTACGATTAAAGGACGAAATTCTGTGGACCCTACTTCAAACTGTATCTACAAGTTCACTTGCAGCTGCGGTGATACCTATATAGGTAGGACCAATAGAATGTTCCAATGTCGTCGAAAAGAACATGTTCCAAAATGGCTATTAAGAGACATTGAAAATCCAAATGCAATTAATCTGAATAGAAATCCATCATCACCCATTGCATAGCACTTATTAATGGCAGGTCACTAAATCAATATTAATAACTGCTTCGCAATTATTTCACATAACCCTAACTCAAGGTTACAAAAGATGATGGAAGCACTTTGGATTAATCACATTCATCCTAAACTATGTGTACAAAAAACAATCGACTTCAACCTTCGCCTACCATGAACTGACTACTTGACCTATTTAAATATGATTGGTCATTAGTGTGTACTTTTGTTTTTTATATAACTGAGCAAATGTCATACTTTTTATTTTATTTTATTATTGTGAACCATGTTAGTTGTAAAACGATTGTAGAGGAACTACGAAATGATATCATCTCGAGAAATTTGTCTTCTAAATGCCTTATTCAAATTTATCAAAGGGACCAACTGTTTTAAACATTCATTAGTTTGAACATCAATACATTATGTAAAGTGTGCAGCACAAATGAAAATTCATAACAAAGAAAACTAAATTTAGTACAATCAAGTTTGACCACCCGCTGCCATCAGTGAGGAGACCACTGGAAAACTAAGAAGTACTGGACAGTTATTTCACCCTAGTTTTGAACTCGTCAACAGTTCTCAACGATTGAGATTCGAACTTGGGACCTTCCAGTTAAAAGGGAAATTTGAAACAAATCAAATCTCCACAAACTATCCATTGAAAATTAGTACAATCATTCTGTCATTCTCACTCCTTCATTTGACAATAGAGTTGATGTAGCAATACGACTGACCTAATGAATGAGTGAATTCTAGTTTTGTGTTGTGCTCGCCTCATTAAAAAAGCATAACAATTATCTGTCTTCGCCATCAAAAGACGTCTTACTCCCAACTAACCTTTTAAGTATACTTTGAATATACACTTCTGACAGTATTTGTATAGAATGTTGAAAGCGATTTTAACATCAACCGTATGATTCCTGTCAACACTGTGTTCTATCATGGACGAGACTTGTAGTCTACTGCCTGTGATTTCCTGACTTTTGGAGTTTTGTTGTATTTCAAATCAATTAGACACACATTTCTTAGCTGTCAATTGCAAAGTAAGATTTCTGCACCCCTATATATGTGTAATTACAGTAAGAGATGTGACGTAACCACTTCTGCAATGTTGAGGCTTGCACTAGAGCATGTGTCAGTAAAAAGTTTAAGCACTGTGGAATAGATCAAATAAATAATAATTATATTCCAATAGTTTACACACAATGATAAGTTTTTGTATTTTGGTAATATTTCAAGAAACATCACTGTCCATGATCACACCAACTGTTGGAATTGTTTTGTTTTTAATTCACACATTTATAATTTGTACTCATAAATATACATAGTTCTTCTTTTGTTCATTCATTTTTGTATATTCAAAATTATATTCCCAGTTGTTGACAGTTATGCTGAGTCACCCTTGTTACATGTATTCGGCGTGTTTTCAATGAATAGAGATTCTGTTATTAGTCTCCATTTCCATTTGTTCATATTAGATTTCAGAATACAAATATTGTTCCAGTCAATATTGTGGTTTTTGTCCCATGTATGTGCAGGTATAGACGAATTTTTTTCTAAATTGTTGTAAGCTTGTGTTCCTGTGGGATGACCTTTAGTTAGGCGTTTTTGTTCATTCATTCTTATTTGGAGTGATCTAGACGTCTGACGTACATATTTAGTCGGACATTCTGCACAAGATATTTCTTAAATGACATTATATATATCCGTCATTTTTATTGGATCTTTTAGCTGATTTATTTTATTTTTAATTAGATTCGTTGGTTTAAAGGTGGTGCGAATCCCAATATTTTTTAGGTTTCTTTGAATTGCCTCTGATGTACCATTTTTTGTTTGGTACTGTGATCATCTTTTTGCTATCCTTCTTGTCATTCTCTGGTTTTAACCTCTTTTTTCTCTTCGTTAAATTATCTCTGATAAATTCGTTTGGGTAGTTGTTGTCGAGTAACATTTTGAATAGGACTTTTATTTCTTTACGATGGTTCTCTGGTGTTGTTGTAAGTCTGCGTACTCTATCTGAAAGACCTTCTATTAATCCTCATTTTACTGTGAGTGAATGAGCTGAGTGATAATCAAGGAATCTCCAAGAATGTGTAATTTTTCTACATAGTGTCGTTTTTATGCTGCCATCAGTTACTCTTTGTACTTTGCAGTCTAATTATAAAAGTGTGAATTTTAAAACAAAACAATCCCAACAGTTGGTGTGATCATGGTCAGTAATTTTGCTCGAAATATTACCAAAAACCAAAAACTTATCATTGTGTTTAAACTATTAGAATATAATTATAATTTATTTCATGTGTTTCACTGCTTGATAACGATGAACCAATGTTGCATAGTATGTTTTACAGATAGCGGATTTCAGCCTCTGTCTCCAAATCATACCACTTGTTTCCTCACTGCAAAATAATTGCTAATGAGAGATTCGCCTTTGAAACACAGTAAACTGTAAGCTTTGGAGTTAACTGCCCTCTACATCCGTTGAAAAACTTTAAAGGATATCTGTTTTTATGCAAGGTATTAGTCTATATACATATATATATATGTGCAATGGTTTTGTTAATATACATTTTTTGTAGAAAAGACCACATACTATATTTTCAAAATATGTCATAAACACTTCTAAATCTCATACTACTTTGTTTATTTTAATTGGTTTATCATCATTTTTACTAAATGTGTTCCGATTAGGCTTTGTCTTGGCCAGTGAAATGTCTACCTCTTATAAATTCACCAACATCGGTATTGTGAATGGTGACAGATCATTTATCCTTCAAAATTTTATTAAGAAGGGTTACCAGTGAATTTCAGTATACTTCTAGGTACAGAGAGAAACAGACAAAACAGTGACGAAGACAACTATGCCTTCAGATATCGATAAAATGCTTCATTAGTTATTATTAGGACTGGAAGAAAAATTAAGTGACTTTATGAAGTCATTATATTGTAAGAAGTATTTTATTAAATGTGGGTGCTAATATTGTGGCGTGTGCTACTGATAAGATTTGTAAGCAGTATGTAAAGGGACGTTCATCGGTAATAAAACATCAAATATCAGGAAGATAGATTTGATGTTAGAGAAAGCAAATGATACAGCGTTTCGGAAATACATGGGAGACGTGAAAGGAACACAATATGAAGGCCAAACGTAGCACAACACGGGAGATGTGCCCAAATGGTGCTATATCGAGATACCAAACTGCAAATATACATTTTCTTAACCAAGTCTTTCGCCACCTACCGTTACTATATGAGTAGTAGAAAAATAACGGTAGTCTGCCTAAATCACTGGGCTACCAGAACTTCCATACATCAAAATGTTTAAACTCTACTTGGTTTTTTGATTGTTTTAATTATGTAATTATATCAAATGGTCACCGTGTGAACTCATGCACATATTTAATTAGATATTCCACAAATGTTGTGAAATTCTTAAGAGAAATGAAGGAGAAGTATACAGAAATGGTTCTCACTTCATATATAACAAAACAATATCATATAACATACTTCATACCATTAGTTTACATATAAATCCTGCACCAGGAGAAAATATTTCGGAACTAAATACACTGAAAATTTCTTTTTTTTATTATAGCTTGAAACCACATAGTATTTTTGGTGCAGGTATGGAATTTTCAGCATGTGATATCGGTAGCCCAAGTTTTGCAGGCCGACCATTGATATCGGATGTGCGCCGGCAGGGGATCAAACCCCGGACCATGTGCATGGTCTGCGAGAGTCCTAACCGCTGTGCCACCGACGCACTGGACTATGTATTCACATGTTGCCTGAAATAAAACTTTATTACTGATTGGACATTGGTAACTAACTAGTGTGATGGGTCTAGTCCTACCTTCGGTGAAGACTGAATTCTATCAGTCAAGCTTGCAATGTAGCCACCATGCTAGGTAGCTCGCCATCACGCTGCGATGTGAATTGTTGGTATTAGATGGTTTGAAGCACATCACACTCGTTAGTTACTAGCGTCCAATCAAGAATATCCAATACAGTCCTACAAGAGGTCAATCGTGAGCCTAAATAGCTCAGTGGTAACGTCTGTGACTGCAACACCGGGTGACGCGGATTCGAATCTCAGAAGGGACGTGATTCAACTAGCACGAAACCTAGGTGAAGCAAGGCCGATTGCTTCCAACCATCTAATGCCAACAAAGCCAAATTACATTGTTATTACTATCATTAAATAACATTCGTTTTCGCTTCAATAATCTGACCTAAATAAACATTAAAAAGTTACAATTTAGATAAGGTTGCATAAATTTACCTAGCCACAGTGAATTTCTAAAATAAACAATCTTGAATAAACTGACATGATACAGCAGATATTTCTACTGTTTCGTCATAGTTTCAAGTGAGTTGCACATTTCAGTGCTTATAAACTCCATTTCTGTCAATCTGTGTTGTCATAGAAAGACAATATGAACATTTAATTAATGTATATATATATATATATGATTTCAAAGAAAGAGCTACAGGATGACTAGGATATATATGAGCTGAAAAGTTCCAAACTAGGACGAAACAACTATCCAGTGATCCTTTCTTTCCAATGTTCTTTAAATGACGTTAGTTAGTGACAAAATCTACACTGAAATATACGTAGGGGTTTTAAAGAATGACTACCGTGACATTATCATTATACAGAGTATCTATACAGACAACTCTCATTATGAAGCTTACTGTCCATCGAATAACTAAGTTATTTCCTATTGTTCCAAATACATAAAGTTCTTTCGGATTGACTGATGGTACACGTCCAGGAATGCCGCATGTTTCTGTTGTCGGTAGACTAGGTAATGATACACCGACACGATTTCTTGTTCGAACACGAAATTTATATTCAATATTTGGTCTTAATACAACCTGGAATATTGAAAAAATATACAAATGACCACTAAATATAACTCTATTATGTGTACATATACTTTGAAAATTATATGTAGTCCGATGCAAATATGTGAATTAGGCCTGCAACACTCTTTTTGACCTTTCCCAGATAGATGGGTATTCACAATACGTGCACATTAATGATCAACTGTAGTTCATCAAAAATGATCATGTTGCATTCGCCATCTTAGGTCATCTCTGGCAAAGATATGATGTCCAGTTATCTATCTATCAAAGGGCGTATGTACTGCTCAACAATTAGCTCTGCCCGCCTTTATGGCTGTGATAAATGGCCACTGAAAGTGGAAGACGTGAGAAGGATAGTTGTCTTCGACAACAGGTGTTTGAGTTCTGTATCCCGTGTTAGATGGTACAACAGAGTGAGTAATATTGACGTTGGGCATCGAATGTTAGGTAAGAAAGGCAAGTCAATCGATGAGGTTGTGAAGTTGCATTGATTGAGATGGCTAGGACAGATGTTGCGCATAAGGAGTAATTGCAATTCTCGACAGGCAATTTTAGCCGACATTGGATTACATTAGAAAGAGGTCAAGGCAGGTCAAACCAAAATCTGCCATCAATCCATGAAGTCTTTCACTGTTGGTTTGAGTCAAGTAAGGAGGTGTAGACTCCTCAGCTTGGATCCTGCCGATGCTAGAAACCGTTCTCAGTGTCGCAGACTCATTCACTCTTCATGTTCTTCTATACTCGCTTAATTCTTTTGTTTTTCCATGCTGCGATTCTTTCTCCCTCACATTTCTGTGGATAATAGTCCTCTTGAATCTCATTTTTCTTTTATCTGCCTTTGTGTGCTGCGTAAAGTGAGGCGACCTGGACTAATACACTTCTGTGAAAAGTTTTATGTTGAAATTCAGTCAATTAGTCACTCAGTAGGTATCAGAATATGAGCTACAAAGAAGTTGGTTTCAGACTTCCACCAAACTTCTAAGATATTTACAGACAGAAACAATCATCCAGCAGATAACTGATACACTTCATAGATAGATGCAAGAGTTTGTATGTTGTTAGTTACCTGAATAATATCCTTTTTTTCAGCTGCAATAATCAACTTAAAATCAAGTTACACCGACAAGAACTCAACTTGTTTCTACATCTTTCGCTATTTAAAAGAAAATATCAAAATAATGCATAAATAACACCAATCGCAAAATCAGATATTCTGTTGTTCCAAAAAGGCAGGGACTAACCTTCACTGAAGTACTTTGAACTAAACCAGTCAGATTAAAAATTTCAGCTGGATACCAAGTCTCACGTTCATATTGAGTTGAATATTCAACCATATACTCCATAATAGGAGCATAATTGTCTGATCCTGGATACCAAGTAACAAGTGCCAATTCCTCTTTAATGAAATCAACACAATTGACTTGCACATTAATTGCTTGTTCTGGTCGACCTTAGAAAATAAAAATTAAAAAAACTGGTGACAAATAGAGATAATTCGATGGTATCAATTATCCTACAGTATTCCCTATTAGTGTACACAACTAATCGATGTGGATTTGACTGGTTTGAAGTTTGGCCATGGATTGAAAGCAGTTAGAGATCCACTGAAAACCAATGAGTACTTAATGGACAGCTGCTTCACCCTAGTTTGGCACTCTTCACTATTAGCCACCTTTTACTGTACCGTAGGTCAAACCTGGATCACAAGGCGAGCTCGTCAGCCATTCATCCACTGGAAAGCAGTCTAGTGACCCACGAATTCTAAATTCTGTCAATTCACGGCTGCCATACAACGTCGTTGGCGAGTAAGTATGCACATACACCTCATTATTGATTTTCATATCATAATTACCATGTTCAAGATTTAATCATCAGAACGTAGAATAAAAAAGTAAATGTTTGTAAAAGACACTCGCAAAAATATTTCATAAATGTAGCGGTTTTCCTATGAAAATTCAGTTTAATTTGAATCCATTTTTAAGTATTCTGGTGTATACCACTAGCTTCACATGCAACTTTGACTGATACAATAATATCTCCCGATCACTCAATTCAGAAAACACAATCACATCAAAATCATTCACCTAGGCTACAAATTTTCTCTATTATTTCAAAAAGGCGTCATTTTAAATGAATAATACAAAACTTAAAAGCAAAACTAAGCATTGAACATTGAACAAAGAGAAATGAAATACACAGTTACCTTGAACAAGCAGTGGTGCAGTTGCTGTAGCAAAATCTAATCCATTACTAGCATTACAACGATACTGTCCAGTATCACGTGGTTGAGCACCACTTAAAACTAGCGCATAATCAAACCAAACTTGTTGAATTCTTGGAGTTATATCCGGGTCAATATAATTATCATCTTTATACCAGGTAACTTTCAAGTTAGACAATTCAGCTGGATCAGTTTCAGCAGTACAAACAAATTTTACAACATCATTTTCATATACTCTTGTATTAATCGGAGCAAGCACCACTTTTGTCTTACGTCTTACTAATAATTGTCCAGAAGCTTTTTGACTTCCAAATGGATTTGTTGCTGTGCATTCATAGACACCAGAATCTGTTATAGCTACGGACTATAAAAATGCAGAAAAGATCTAATAGTTAAACTTCAGCTAGAGAAATAACTATAGAAAATCAAGTGGATAACTTTTATAGGTAATAATACGAGTTTCTATAATATTTTATTCATAAAATCATTTAACAAATAACTATGTTACATTATCAAAGGAAAGCTGATTACAAATGAAAGTAAAAAAATGGATGGTGACAATTCTGGTGCTGTACACCTGTGATACTAGAGGTAGCTGCTAAACACCCCCTAAATTTCATTCCAGCGATCTCATCCAGCCTTCACTGTAGCCATTAGAGCAAAGTTGGAGATATTACGTACTATAGTGAGGAAACCTGTGTGGAAGAACATAAGAACCGTCTAAAAGTGATGTTGGAGGAAATATTCACAGTGGATATAGGAAGAAAGAAGAGACAAGGAAAGGAATGACTCTCAGCGCACACCCCGAAGCAAACAGAACAGAGGAGGATGGTGAGACAGAAGATAAACTGATGTGTACATAGACAACAGAAGGAAAGGCTGAGTTCAGTGTACAACGCAATGAATAAAGAAGTGAAGAAAAGTACCAGGAAAGATAAAAGACAATTCTACGACACACTAACAACTGAAGCAGAACAGGCCACAGGTAAAAGAGACCTCAGAATGTTATATCACATAATCAGATGTCCATCAAAGAAGAACGAATTAGGCCTCTTCTAGAATTGGCGCGGAATTAAGTGCTGAAAATTTTGTACACTGTGTAAACACTTTGTTAAAAATAAAACTATTATTATTACTAAATCCGTTAATTTTTTTGGTTATCATAAGTCACAAACTAAGTAAAAAGACTCTAAACTGACCTACATCTAATGACTCTGACTGTTTAATTTTGACGGGGCAATCACAATCTATGAACCACCCGATCGAAAATCAAAACTACTAAACAGTCACACCATGGTTTCCAGAAATAACTGGATTAAAAACAAACATTTTGAAATTTACTTCCAGATAACACTTTTAAAGTAATTCTTACTTCAATGAACAGATCACCTGATGGGAGAATTTTGTATCGACCACCATTAATTGGTCTTCTGTCTTTAGTCCATGATATAAGAGCTTTCGGTGCTGAAAATGTCTGACAAAATAGCGTAATTTTGTTCCCGTCAACTGCTCGTACAACTGCTTCTGGTGGCTTGATAAAGTATGGTGCTTCACGCATAACATTTACATAGGCGTTAGTAAAAGCATAACCAAATTTATTTGATGCATTACACTGAATAACTGCACTGTCTTTAATTGTTAAATTGTTTAACTGCATAGTCTAAAATATTAGCAGAGAATTTCAAAAAAGGATTATAAGATTTAATCAAATCAGATTTCTAAGCTGATATGCTAGTAACGACTAACGCCTGTTTGTCTAGTGTTTACGAGGGTTTTATCAATCAATTCTATCATGTGGCTATCAGTCTGAATGATATAATAAGATACTACACTTTGTATGGTGTTCAGAGGTGGAGAGCAGTTTTTATCGTCAACGCAGGCATGAAATATCAGAGATAATCCTTTTGTTTATGAAAGCCATTTTCATTTTGCTGAGAACCATATTCACTTTTTCAAAGTGTTTTCAAATTTTAGTTCTATTTCATTTACGTTAATGCCCCTACATAAATACGGCCTTCTTTTGATGGGCTTTAACAAGAGTGGAAACTGCCTCCACGTCTTACTGTTATGCATTGTCAAATTTTCAGTAAAAATGTTATTTACTCTTGTGTTACTAATATCCTTTTAAATTTTATTATTATATATTAGCCCTTCGTCGGATTCACATTGGAACATAGGGCTTCAGCAGAACATCTGCACTCCACTCTGTTCTCTGCTGTCTTTTTAAGCTGGCGTCACGACTATCCACAGCATCTCATTTCCATTTCACATGATTTCCCCATATCATCCTCGGAACTACACCCAACTCGTCACTTTCCATTCAGGTATCACTCGAGGACCTGGTGCGTGATGTTACCCGACGTTCTCCTCAGAGTGTGTGCGATCCATCCTCAACTCCTCTATATTTAAGTGTTGGTTTGTAGAGATTTGGTTGGTTACAGGATTTTCATCACTAGAACCTGGGGTTCTAGTGAGAAGTCGTGACCAGTAGGATGCAGCAGGTCGGGTGTGAGGACAAATACTCGCCGAAGACATTGGCTAGGGGTTGCGCTACGTCGTGAATTGGCAGAAGTTAGAATTCATGGACAGGCCAATGGATCGGGTCCCAGTGGCTTAATGGTATACGAGCTCGCCTTGCAGCTAGAAGCTCCTGGGTTCGAATCTCGGTGGGTGCATTGAAGAGTCCCAAACAAGGACGAAACGACTGTCCAGTACTCTCAGGTTTTCCAATGGTTCTCTAACTAATGTCAGCTCATGATGAAAATCCTCTATATTTGTTGAGCGATATATTCTTAGATGGTTTGTCACCAGAGTTTCTTGCTTTGCAGTCATGTGATTTTCAGTATGGAGCAGAGGCCGCTGTTGATGAAAGTCAGTAGCAGCCTGTCAAAATTACTTTAGGGGACACGCCAAGTCTCTGATAATATATATACAATAACTGATTTGACATTAGTGTTAAAATTGTGGATTTTGTTCCTTATTCTGAGTATAGTGGATTTCCAAACCGACTTCAAAGTAGTAAAGGTATATCTGGCTTTTCCGATCCTGCCTTTAACATCTTGATTTGTGTCACCTGTAGTTGAAATGTTGCCCGGATAAGTGAAAGTGGTGACCTTTGACAGTGGTTGGTGCTTGCTGTTGTTCCTTAGTTGTCTTCATCACCTCTGTCTTCTCTATGTCCACTGAAGTCATGTCTTCGCTACATTTTCTGCCAACTGGTTGCTTTTTGCCCTCAGATCTTCGAGTTTGCCTGAAATAAAACATAAATATTAGCGAAGTTCAGACCTTTTATAGTCTTCCTATTGGTCCGAAGTATACCTGTCTTTTCGCACCTGCACAGCCGATAAAAGTTTGTGGCACTGCATTCCATAGTGTTAAAGTAGTTTACAAATTATTTTGTGGTTAACGCTGTCGAAGTTGTCGAGCAAGTTAAGATAGCGGTTTGACTACATTTCTATACTCTGTTCAATTATGATGCTCAGAGTAGCAATTTCATCCACATACAAATTGCTTTTCCTGAATGCAGCCTGTTCCAGGTGGAGCTTTGAATCGAGAACATCTTTCAGTCTCTGCAGGGAATTCGGTTCTCATTCCATGTGCCAAATTCTGCAGATTTCTACACCAATTTCAGAGTAAAGAACTCCAGTATCTCTTTCCAGATCCTATCCAAAATAGCCTTGAAACGACGCTGACCAGAAGAGTGAAGGTGACGACTTCCTTTTTATTCCTCAAACTGATGAATGATGCTCGCTGATGTTGACTGATTATCTTCATCATCTCTGTCTTCTCTATGTTCTCTAAAAGTTTTAGTTTCCTTTAAATTACCCTCATATTACGAAACAGTCTTGTACTTCATTCAACCAATCAGGACTAGTCATTTATTCTTCACTTTAGCACACTTTTATGTATGTACAAAGTTTACCTACAGTAAGGAGCTATCAAATAATAATTGTGCTCGTAACTGGAGACCAGTGTTTATTCTCTGATAATTTCAAAAGTCAGCAGGTATTAGGTATCCTGATTTCATCTATCTTATTCCACTATTTGCTCACCCGTCATTGAAATTCTCGATTTCTTCATTGTGGATTTATACGAGTGGATAGATTGGCTTTTGTCACGAAAAAATTAAATAGCTTATTGTTTTCTGTATTCATTTATTTGGTGGGCATTTCAAATAATAAGTTGACATTTTATGAACACGCAATGATTGTCACCAAAAAAAAAACAAAAAATCTATCAAGAAACAATCAAGTCACTCATACAGCAGCTAATGCACCAACACAGACCATATAATTAATTCAGTAGAGTTTACTGCCAAACCCCCCCCCCCTATCTCGACCCAACGAAAGAGAAAACAACCTCCTTAAACAGTTCAATAATATAAATTTCACAATGCATAACTATAACGCCGAAGAAATTTAATCATTCTACACATCCAGACTCAAAAGTGATCATGAATATAGTGTGACGAAAAGACTACCTATAATCTGTACAACATATCATCATTAAAATTTTGGTTTTTTATTGCCACATTTTGCCTAAACTATCTTCAAATTATTCCGGAAATGAACCAGAAATTACGTGACTTTTCTGTTGATTCTTTTTAACTATTAAAACATTATTACATATAATTTAAAATAATTTTTGATATATTATTATAATTATTATTATTTTCTAGACTTTCAGTAACTTTTAAACTTGTGAAAATGGGGAAGTTTTTCATGAGACAATATCATGGCTATGCTCAGTCTCTTATATTCCCAACTGTCAGCTTTTTATTTCATAAATTGATACAGAATGACATTTACATTTTGTTTCAAGCTTAATTACGTGCTGATATCAGTTAGAGAGCCTCTGGAAAACCTGTGAGTACTGGACATCTGTTTCGTTCTAATTTGGGACTCTTCACCAGTACCCAATCACCGTGGTTCGAACTTAGGACTTACCGATTACACGGCCAGTTGGTAGACCACTCAGCCACTGGGACGCAATCCAATGGCTCTCTGATCGAATCCCGCTGGGTGCATGGTGATGAAGAGTCCCGAACTAGAACAAAACCGCTGTCCAGTACTCCCTGATTTTGAACTGCTTCTTCAAATGATGTCAGCTCGTAATCATACTTAAAACCAATCAAATCTCTACAAACTAGATTTCTAAAACTTATTTTTTGTTTCGACAGTGTCTAAATATACATTTTAGTTAAGGAACTCTTTATGGACCCAGTTTTTTGTTTCGTCAAGCACTTACATTTCCATGCAATACTTTACGTACACCATCTAAATAATTCGATGGATCTTCACCATTTATTGTCCAGCGTATTTTAGGCACAGGATCTCCCGTAGCTGTGCATCGAAAAGTGACTGAACCATTCACAGGCACATTGATATCCTCAGGTTTTTCGATAAATTGTGGACGAACTAAATATAGCATTCAGAATATAAAGAAAAAGTTAAACAGAAAGTCGACTCATTTAGTTTGTCTTTGTGTCTAGAAACAAAATAAAACATTTATATTTATATGTATGTAAATACAGAAAGCTGACATTATTGTTTAATGTTTAAATAGACGATTTTCATTGTGAGAGCTAATCGACACAATGGTTAGAGTTATTGTTTCGGTTTTTTACAATTGCTTTTCATGGGCTATTTTTTTCTGTTGTTTCAGACTGACATTAAAGCGTTTTAAAATGATAAAACATCATTCTTACTCTTTTCTGCTTCCATTATGGTGAATTGTATTGTTTTTAAAAAGAATAACCAAACAATAGTTAGTAAATCACTGGTGAATAGAAACAATTACGATTTATTATTTATCACGAAATAATACACAGAAACTTATTTAAAAAATCTTCTGTGGGATAGTATTTGTCCAGTATAATTCATACTGAAATATAAATGCAATCTAATTTATTTTATTTTATTTTTTTTATTTTGGTTACAGCTTGATGCCACACCGTATTTTCAGTACAAGTATGGAATTTTGAGCTTTGATATCGGTTGCAGGCCGACCATATATATCGGGTGTGCGTCGGCAGGGGATCGAACCTCGGTCCATGCGCATGGCCGGCGAGAGTCCTAACCACTGTGCTACCGACGCTCAGGACAAGAGCAATCTGCTCTGATGAATATCTTAATGAAGAGCTCAATATTATGCAACGATTACTGAATAGTAAAATGGTTACCCGAAGAAATTCATTGATACGAATATGAATCCAAAGACAAGGCAAGCCAAAGTATCAACAGTCTCAAAAACAAGGCCTTGTTCTTACAACTTCAGTTGCTCGGTGATAACACCAGTGAAATAATAACATAAGGCTTAAGGAATACGGTAAAAAAACAGCATACTGTCTCTTCAAAATCACTCCTATTTTGCCTCTTCTGTGTGTATCCATCAGTTCGACTGCTCCTGTGTGGCTAGTTACATTGGGTGTACAAATAAGGTGTGTTTATCGTCGGAATTTCGAACACCATTCTGCATAGGACAAACAAGGTCTATTAATAATGCTATTCTATCTAATCTCGTGGATACACAACACAAAATTAGGTAGTTGGAGGCAATCGGCAGGAAGCCTTGGACCTAGGTTTCGTGCTAGTTGGCACTCGTCAGCAAGGCTGATAGATAGGCTGACTGATAGAATTCAGTCTGCACCAAACAAAGGACTGGATACGTCAAACTAGTTACTAGTGTCCAATGAAAACAACATAAAATTGTTGTTAAAAAGGCTTTCGAAGTTATCTACTGTATCTCAAGAGTTCGTCTGCTGTATATATTGCTGAAACCGTCGGAATTTACATTAAGTAGCCTAACTTATATATCGAAAAGAATTTGTTTCAAACGTCTTCCTTATCTTAGTCATCTATGTTTTAACTATCCTTAATTTGTTGCATAAATTTTTTCTGATATCCTATTTAGTGTTACATCTTTTATTATTATTATTATTACTGTTATAACTCAGGCATCTTTCTTGAACTGCAGTTCCATTGATCTTAACAGTTCAAAACTGTTTAAGGAAAATCAGTACTGTTAATGACGATTATTCTAGGAATCTTTTTTTTAAAATATATTCCTATAATTTTAGAGCCGTAAGGGGAGTTTATGGAAAAGAGCAGTCTTCGCTCGAACTTTCCTTAGTCTTCTTAATATCTGAATAGGAAATTTTGCCAGAATGAAACTGATTATTAACTGTGATTTTAAAATGGCAATTTCTAATCCTGCAGTGATCTATACTTCTTTACAAATTAAGTCAAAGACTTCACGACGTTAAGACATCGACATGTGAATAATACGTCGTAGCTAATGAATCGATCTAGTCTTGCAATCAGCTGGTATGTCCACAGATGTTCTTTTGCTGTCAAGCAGGTATTATTTTATCTTTATTTATCAAGTTTTAGATAGAAACTGATTTAACTCGCTTGGAAATTATCTATCAAACTTTGCTGATCTTATTGCGTCTGAATAACAGTTTTATTCTACTCAGAACTGATTCATATGTGTGTAAAACTTGGGCACTGTGGTAGTAAGTAATTCCATATTAGTTTGTTTATTAGATGTATCACACAGTGAAACAGTATTATTTACTGGATGACAAGGTTTCGAACAAAATTTATTGTTCATAATCATATCAATTGTAATCACACGACTTTGAAACTTGAGTTTTATAGTTTCCTTTGTTTTCTCCTATTTGTCGTCGTATGAGTAGTATAATTTTCCAGATAGCTAGCCGAGACAGGTGTTGAATGATTCCTATTACAGGTATTCCCAGTTCATTCGACAAACAAAGCTTCCGTTATCAATCTCTCTCTCCACCATGTTACATTAGATTTTAAAACTGTCATCTTATCCTATCCTATTGTATGGTTGTGTGTAATTGCATGTAGTGAATGGCATAGCTGAACTATTCTCTAGATTTCTTATCTTATTCGGATCAACCAATCTAGATTTTGCTAGGTTTTTACGCTCGGTTAGTCTGACCGCCCCTGTTCTACTACTTTGACCTATGTGTTTGACCTGACAATCATTGCAGGGTATTAGATAAACTAAATTGCTTCGTTATAAAGGCTCCACAGGATCCATTAACCGACAAAGCATGTTTCTAATTGAGTTTGTGGGTTTGAATGCCAGCCACTTTTATTCCTGCCTTGTTAAGAATTCTGCGTAAGGTTTCCGAGGTTCACCAGCCATCCACGTGGTCAGGGTTTAGATTTACCAGTCAACAAACTCCTAAACATCGCCTAGCCATTAGTAAGTCTAAAAAAGAGGGTAAGTTGGACCTGAAACTTGGAACCTCATCCCGTGAAAACAACACTATCACTACTGAAACTTCAAAGCTTAAAGCCTGAAGCCCACTAGAAGTGCAAAACGAATGGCGAAAAACATTTTAAATGAAATCCAGTTGTATGAAATTATTAGTGCACAAATCCTACACGTACTAATTTCTCCGTGTGTTTTGGCCACTAAAATTGTTGTTATGTGGATTTCACATAGTGAAAATAAAGTGTAAATACAGTGATATAGTTCACAAGTGGCCTAATGTCTTCAGACTGAACAAAATAAGCAGCTTATTTGAAAGTTGATTGATGTTATACTGATGGATGCGATTTATAGAACAGGCTTGAGGTTACTGTCATGACTGCACTGACCAGTCTTGTTACCATAAATGCTACAATTAAATTACCTGAACTTAAATTTATTCTTACTGAGACTGTATTCTGTCGATGCCATATTTTGAATTCCTAAATATTGACTGATTTATATCAATAAACTCTCGAGTGAAGCCATTGAACTGAGGCAGTCACCATTATCATTTTAATTATACAGTCAGTAGAATCGATATATGGAGGATTAAGAACTTTACTTTTCTGTTTACCAAACAGTGAGAGACAAAAGTTGGAATTAGCTGAAGTGATGACCGAGAGTACCTTTATGATGAAACGATCATAAAACGATCAGTCAATTCAAAAGACACACCTGTCCTTCTGTAGTTCCATGATAATATAACCCAAACGACTAGTGACGAACTGTTTTTCTAGTCTGTTCATAATGAATTTATTATCTGAATAAAATGTACAAATTTCCCTTATTTTACAAAAGCCCAAATCTCAGTGAAATAATCTAGCTGAATTAGCCTCTAAGGTTATTATCACAGAAAAATACCATTTCCTAGTCTTAAATCTTTAGCACGTTCAAGTGTATCCTACCTTGTATTACGCAATTCAAATAAGCACATATAAAGAAGAATAAAAGGAAAGGAAATCTGTTGAAGTACTGTTTAGCTACATTTGTTCTCATTACCATATGGTAATGTTTAAGACAACACAGAAGTACGACTGCACACATGTTTCATTTCAGTCTGGGACTCTTCAGCAGTAAGCACTTACTGGACCAATCCAATAGCCGCTGAATTCTAACCTGTGTCAATTAATGATTTAGAAATGATTGACCATTGGATCGTTTCCCAGTGGCTGAACTGTCAACAGGCACGACTTGTAACCTGAAGGTCCTAGATTCGATTTACGGTGAAGTCTTGGGTGTCCAATATTCCCTGGTTTATCAGTGGTCCTCTAACCGATGTCAATTCACGATCAAAATTGAAATTCTATTATACTTTATGGGAAACAAGACTGCGTTTTAGTTTCTTTTCAGATGGATTATGCTGTTTTTGGACAGGTAATTCGGAGGTACAAATATTGAAAACTTAGTCTACAATAGTTTCTAACATAGATGAGTAAGTACGTAACTGATGATTTCGAGTTCCATAACATTTCAACTTGTAAGGTGAGCAAACTGTGGAAAATCGTTTCTCAACTTTGCTGAAGGTGAAATGGAAAGCATCATTCACCGAATAAGGAGGATTAATTAGACAATCTCAATTGGTTGCCTTAGCTTCAGTCACAAAAGGATTGATGTCAGACACTACATAACAGTAAATTGATTCAATAAAAATCCACACTCATTCTATAAATCAGTCAGGCTAAGATTTTTAAATTCACCGAAGATAGGACAGAGGAACACGAAACATACTTGTAGACTTCATATTCAACTCTAGTATACCCAGTGCAGGATATATGGATAGGTAGAACCAGTATCAGACTGAGGAGCCCAGATAAACTTTGCAGTCTTTGCCCTCTAATTTATTCAGAAGTGGCTTGCTAAACAACACTTTCTTTGTCGGCCTAAACGTTCACTGCATCATCTTGCAATAATCGCTTAGGAGTTCTGATATGCTGACAGATAAACGGGCCAATTGGGAATTGTCCACAAATGCTTGAATATATAATTCACTTCAAAATTAGGTGTGCATACATTTTATATCAATTTTTACAATGAATTTTTGGCTACTTATAAGTAGTATAATGAAATTAAAATATATGTCGCCTACCTCGAACCTGTACGGTAAATTGGGTGTTCACAGTACTCTTGGTAACTTCATTTAAGCCTTGACATCTGTATTCTCCAGCAGCTTCTTGAGTTACAGGGTTAATTTCTAACATTGTACCCATATTCTTTATTTTCACATTGGGTAACTAGAAATAAAATAATTTTAACAGAATATAGTGGTGCCGGTTGATTACTGATTGTATTTTGTCCTTAGATACGGTTAACGGGCTAAGCAAATATCACTGGAGTGTAACTGTTATTGCATCCAGTTTGGAAAACTCCATCTGTTATGGCTCTCCATTGGAGTCCAGGGAGAATTCGGCTCAGAGTTAGATGCTAAACAAAAGCAAAATGTTAGTCACTTTGTATGCACATTCCTAATTGACAATCAGTTACCTTGGTAACGAAACAATACTGGCTTCCTTAGTTCTTATTACTAATCTCGTAGAAACACATTTTAACCATGTTTAAAATGAAGGCACATCCATCCTTCATAAAATTGGAAAATTTCTTCATGTTTTGTACTCTGAAGCATATATATATATATATAATATTCGGCGGCATGCGTCAAACTTCTGCTACCAAAAACCCCCATCATTATATTGCATATAATTTCTCTAATCACTTTGTTTTATTCTCTTAAGATGTGACCTCACATATCACATTATTTACCCTCGCAAGTATTTTAAATGTTTACAACTTGCCGATTCGCAAATTTCTACTAAACTTGAGAAAAAGCTTGTGGGAAATGAGGTATCCCAAATACACAAGACGACTGTTCATGAGTTATGTCCTTGGGTCTCAAAATGTACTTCTGAATATTTTATAAATGGCTTTCAACAGAACATCATGAATTTCTCGAAGCAGACAAAAAAGAAATATCATAATGGATTAGTTTATGTTTCAGATGATACACCACTGTTTCATTCAATCTACTTGTCACTTGCTATTTTAGTTCAAGATCCCGGACAAAGAGAAAATTTCATGCAATAAATTCCTCTGAAAATTCTGTACACTGGACAAACATCACTATATAACATAATAAATGTCATTTAATCAAAACCACTGTTTGAGTTAATAGTGGAAAATGTTGTAGTAGGTTAACACAAATTCTTACAGTTATTTTTTCACTATCATCTTTGAACCATGTGTATAGTGGTTCTGGGTAACCACTGTAAATACATCTTAACTGGATTATATCACCAACTGCAGCATCTTCTTTTCTTGGAGATCTATACTCTGTCTTTAATGGATAAGTTAACTAAAGTAAAAAAAAAGTAAAAATTATGTATACATGTAAGTAATCTGATAGAAAACAGTTGTTCTTATTTCAAAGTTTAAGATTATGGGCAGAAGTCAACAACACTGTCTAGACAAATTCGAGCCTACTTAATGTTGTATGCGCATAACAAAGCTACAGTCATAAAGTTAATATTTCAAAATAACAATCAGTCATATCCATTGGGTAAAAATGCCCCCAATTCAGAAATAATATACTGTTTGTCGCTGGACAGATTTCTCAACACTCACGGGAAAAGAATATCTTAATAAAATTAGAACAGCTACACACTAGGCGCTCATCTCAGAAACCAATTACACACTTATACACTAGGTTATAAGAAACTTCTATTGAATAAACACAGATAGTATTGATTTTGGCTTGACTACCCTAAGTTTATTAGACAGAGAAATGTTTGAATTGGTCGGAGATATGATCACTAACCGACATCAGTTAGAGAACCACTGAAGAGCCAGAAAGTGCTGGGCAGCTATTTCTGTCAGTAGTATGCACCCATCGAAGTTCAAACGCAAGGCGTTCCAGTTACAATGTTTCTCTAACTGATATCAACCTGCAGTCGAACCTGTAACTAATCAAATTCCCATAAACCAAAACTGGATAAATATTTGAATTGTTGAATAGTTACTCTATGAGCCATAGCGCTAATCCCCAGTATGCAATTATCTTCGCTCTACCACATTACTAAAAATGTAAATCTGTTTTTATAGTCACTGGATAAAAAATTCAAAAAATGTGTACGGATTTTAAAATCCAGGTAAATAAGATAAATACAAAAGAGTCTGATAAACACATTGCAGATATCACTCCAACTAATTTTTCGTCTTAAAATATTCAAGAACTAAGTTGTCTGAATATTTGCTCAATTGTGTACAAAAAGTTTCTTTTCAACAACATAAAAATCATATCGATTACAAGAGCTTTATATAACTTCTGATTTATTCAAAACCATTTCGTCATTAGAAAGCGTAATTTGATTTACAAAATAGATTATACAATGACTAATCATATCAGCACAAGGTTAGCTTCTCTCCATAATGAAAATTAGATGTCCAGAGAGCAAAAGCAACTAGAAACTATAACAACAAACCAACCAATATCTTATTACCAAATATTATATGCAGAAGGAAACGGAGATTGGCTGGATATGCGCTAAGAAGTCTTCTGAGTCACATCAAGCGTTAGGCAGGCCCTTCAATGTAGCTTGAAAGGAAAGTGACTGGTTGGTTGTCCGAGAATAACACGGAGGAGTTCATGGGAGGAGAAAATGAAAACTGCCGTGCAATCATGAAGCCCGTCAAAAAAAGAGAGAGCAGAAAGCAGAGCGAAATGGTAATTTGTTGCTGAAGCACTAAGTTTCACTCTCAACCAGTAGGAATTAAAATAAATAAGTGAAAAACAAACCAATAGAATACTAAAGGATTCTAGCCTGAGTTTCTGAGATCACTGCTCAGCACCACCCTATGCTTACACATCAGTGACACTGTAACAAATATGAATCTTAGAAAAATTACAAAGTACCTTTTAATAAAACAAACTGAACTGCATTCTTAAGATGACGAGATTCAAGTGCTTTTCCGGTTAGTACGAGCAATAAAGTTAAAAATTTAATTAAATGTATGTTTACAAAATTTATATATATATATATATGCAGTAGCACAAGTTACCGGTTGTCCTGATACACGGAGGCGATAAGATGGACCACTTTTCTGGATACGCAGCACCTCATTATTTGCTACGCATGTATAAAGTGTATTATCATCTTCTTGAATTACTGTAGCAATATAGAGATAACCTTGAAAGGATAAAAAGAAATGAAAAATCGGTAATTTAGTTTCTTTAATATTGAATAATAAGTGAATCACTGAATTACGGAATCATAGATCACAAAAGTTTTCTTAAATCCTTCGATTCGATTCGATGGAAAAGTATTTGCGACTAACTTTGAAGTATTCATTTGATAATAGACATTTCACTTGGCATAGTGAACGTTTAAATGAACTTTTCTCAAAATAAAAATCTCACGTAGTTTGAAAAGAGAAAGAACAAACATACAGTATAATTATATAATTCAATTTTAGATTTTCCTGTCGATTGATTGGGCAGAAGTGCTTGGTCTCACGTTAACATATCGGCTCCTTGTGTAGATGCTTCGACGATGGCTGGGCGTGTAATTAGAAGTTAATTGGTGGATGGTGACTAGCAGTGGAATCCAGGACACATATTTCATCCTATTTGGGACTGCTCATCTGTATATGCCGGGAAAATCTGAAATTGAATTAAATAATTAATATGACCAGTTGCACAAGTGGTGGCTCTTGTGGCCCAAGTGGTCTAGTGCATAACGCTTTGGCGTCTGAAAATATGGGCACTGGGTTCGAGCCCCCGTGGGAACATCATCACTCACTGCGGAATGCAGACACATCCAGATGACGAGTCCCAATAAGGAAGAGATGAGTATCCTAGATTCCACTGCTAGTCACCATCCACCAATTAACTTCTAAGTACAGTTTGATTGTTCTAAAGGTAATCGAATACTTTGCTCAAATAGTTCACCTCAGTTTGAATGGATAAGGAGATTTCTGAATATATTTTTAGTGGTGGAACATAAACAGTTATTTAATACTATCCAGATTAAATATTCAGCACCCCGTAGGAAACCGGGACACAAATATATCTCCCTATTTGATTGATAAAGTAGATGGGCTGACAATCTGGGAAATGTATGTTTTAAATCTAGTATGATTAAGGTTACTTTTGAAATTCCACTATCAATTTGCACGCAGTAATTATTATATCAATTCAAAAAATTTAGTTACCATTGATATCAGTTGCTCTTCTATTTGTCTCCTTTAGATAATGAATCTGAGCATTCTTTTCTGTTTGCCAGGTAACTACTGGTTGTGGATAACCAACTGGAACTTGACAAGAAAGTTTTTCAGACTGCCCTAGACGAACATGCACCTCTTGTTCTCTTGTCACTTTAAAGTCACCAAGTTCTAATAAATAAATAAAAACCAAATTAATTAAAGGTTTACAAATGGACTAGTTGTAGAAAGTATTATTTTCAAAAGAATTAAGAATATTTTAGCAACTTACTTTAAAAGTTAATTAGCACTGTGGATAGTGAATATTGAGACCCTTATATAAAAATGTCTGCAGACTATCTGAATTCATGATTTTTAAGATACGTCATTCGATACATTTAATTGCTGCATAAACGAATGTGCTGAGTAATACAACTTGAAATTTAAGAGGCTACACCTCGTCAGGAAAAAGTATTACCATGAATATTTCATAATTTCATTTCGAAGCAATATGAGTAGGGGAAACATGTTTTATTCTGTTAGTAAAGAAAGAAAGACGTTGTGTATCACAAAGTTAAATAACGAAACCTAGCCACTCTCCACCTCATAAATCTATTTGTTGCAAAAACTTTTAAACATGAGAAAGGGTCCTATTTATCCTAATTTATCTGTCTTTTAAAGAATGGATTTATTTAACCTGTTTATCTAAAAGATGCTCACGTACATAACAGATGACAACTAACGAAAATCTACAAAACCCTGAATAAGCTTGGATACAATGTCTGAAAAAACTTCGCTCTAGCCAAAATAAGTGGACAAATAAACAGATAATCTGGTTTAAAAATAAGCAGTTGTACTATGAAAATGATCAACCCTTGTTGAATTAGACCCGTTTCGCATGACGTTCCCAATAACAGATTTCCAATGTCGTAAATTTAAAGTATACAAGAGATTCAACTTGCTCATCTGTCGGCGAGAATTTGTTGTCCTCCCAGCCTCAGACACCAATGAGTACTCTCAACCTTCAAAGGTCTAACATGAGCAATATCTTGTGCACAAAATGCACCTTCTAAAAACTCTGAAAACATGTTTAGCATAGTTAAAAATGATCATAATCAAACACATTGAAGAAAATATTTAGAAAACAACAAACCATTTAGAGATCTTAAAGCTGCGAACATTTTGTGGAAGGGCTATAAAATAACATATCATCTAGGCTATTCTAGATGTGGCCCATAAGAGATGTAAGTAAAATAAACAGTTCCAATGGATAGACTACAAATCAGCATAGAACTTTGCTGTGAGCTGTATCAGTTCAAATAACGACAGTTTGGAAACAAGTGTACATCAAAGAATAGAAGAGATAAACGGTAATACAACGATAAACAGAGATATATGGGAGGGTGGATATATCCACACTATGCAACTGAAGTCTGAACAATCATGCAGCGACACAAGGGCTGCATCCGAAAGGGATATCTCCTTAAAATTCCATACACCATTAATGTGTAGACACCTAAACTCATCGTTTTACTTCTTTACATTCTCTTCTGTTTAACTTTCCTGACTACTCCAACTAATACACTTACACTCATCATTATATTTATATATATCAACTTTAAACTTAATTAGCTGTCTGTCTTTACGTTCTCTTCATTTCTTTTCCTATCTTTTAGTTTGAATAACCCACACTTATTATATCTGTTATTATTATCTTTCTACTTTTGTCGACGACACCGAAAGACTAACTAGTGAAAGGATCAACTCCATTCACAGTAGCAACAAAGTCTTAACACAGCGCATACTAAAACAACACATAATTAATCCCAGCACTACTCCTTTTGGAGTCAACCAAGGCTACGACAGTAGAGTGGTGGGACGAAATACGCAGAAGCTTACCAAAAACCAGAAACCTCAACCTCACAATCAAGAAACGAGCACAAAGAAATCAAATTGATTTACATTAGCTCGTAAAAACGACAGTGGATATCGGATACTGGAAGGATCACAAGTGTTTATAGGCATTTTTATTTTTCCAGTTAAAATTTAAATTAAAAGATGGAATAATACGCCCTCAATATTTTAACAAGCATTAAGTAATGTCCTGAGCGAATACAGAGGGACCACAAGCATTCCGTGCTAAGAACACTGGGGGGAATTTCGGATAACAAGGTATTTCAATAGCAATTTTTCACCAGGAAACTTTAGGACATTATGGGAATCTTTCAACCGACTCTTCACTCACTGAAACGCATTAAATCTGTATCTAGTTTGGTGATGCTTGTCAATCAAATTCACTTGGACACTGATCTCACAAAATATGAATTAATTTCAAGTGATGGAGTACTTAGACTCCTTTGAGTGGGGTGGAAACTGTCTCATCTCCCACAACTTACCTGCTCTTTTAACATTCACAATTACAGACAGGGCTGTACCAAACTGGTTTTTTGCTATGCACTGGTACATTCCATCATCGTCAGTACCAGGTCTAGCAATCACAAGGGTGCCGTGGTCTGGCCACTTCGTATACCTTCCAGTGTTTGCAGCCCAATTAAAGTACTGTCCATTCTTATACCAATAATATCTGAGAAATAAATCAGCAAATATGGAAACTACTTTGGCGACGGAGAACCTCTCGCAACACATGGTAAACGTATCGCCTCGCCCGGTATAAACACAATATCCGTAGGTGGCATCTCAATCATAGACGGCGGATACGTTACTATTGAAATACAATGTGAATAAATGATCTATATTACTTGATGATATAGGAATGACCAAATAAAATGCAGCAATAAATGTAAGTAAAACCATTTCAGTTCCACTGAGGTTTGGGTAGAACATTTTCAATGAAGATCTATGGCGGTAATGAAAAAGAATGAAACGCCAACCTTATGTGGTGTGAAATGTGACTTAGAAGTTAATTCGCCTGAAAAATATCATTTCCGCCTTGTTATTTACACATTTAAAATACCGGGTAACATCACCTTGAAAAAACCTGGGCAGCGATGTTTATAAACAAAAGCAATTTCACATTCAGACTGTAAGTTTATAATTCACGATAAATTATCAATTACTCTCTCTTAAGCACCTGTGACTTCCTGTTTCCCCCTAACTGTTGGTCTCATGAAGGTCTGGTTCATCAGTAGCATTTTAATACTCCAAACTTCTGGAGTGTGTGCCAAAGGACAGCTAAGGTCCATCACCGTTTCCCTGAATTCTAAACATTGTGGTTTTACTACTGTGTTAGCAGTATGAGAACGAGTAGATATTAGTCCTTCCAGGTTCGTAGTACAGTAGGTAGGTTGTAGTAGTGGTTTTTCATGAAGCTGTCCCTTGAAACCTTTCCAATGTTTCTCACTGATCTTTCAGGCTGTTCGTATTTTTTCAGTGGCATTCACTAGACGAGTAAACTGAATAGTTATAGGTGCAACCAACTAAATTTCAGTATGAAGACATCCCAGCTATCTTCAATTCTTTCTGGCCCTAGATTTCTGGTTATGGGCAGAAAGCTTCGAATGCACCTTGTTCCTTTTTAATGAAACAACAGTTAGTATCCTAAATGTAGATATCTTTTCAACACAATTTCCCTAGCCCTGCTATCTGATTTTACAAACTGTTTTCCTGTGGGGATCGGTTCTTTAGTAACCGTCATAGTTAGATTACCTGAGTTTGATAAACATGATCCAGAACTGTGATTTGGTGACTTAGAGTACTACTTTGACCACCATAGCATTAGGCCTGAAGCCGTTGGTTATAGTGTCGTGCACTCTCCGTTAACTAATCAGATTAGCCAGGAGGCGTGGGAACTTATACTTCACTCCCCATCCTAGCAACCACATACAGCGAGTGAGCGCAAGTGGTAAAATGCTTCCCATTGTCAGACTACCCGTGCGTACACTGTTTGCTTAGAGAAGAGCACACGGGAGATGGGTTCCTATCTCAATTCTTGCACCACTTGCAATAGCTTGTGGGAGAAGCCATAAACCGGCGATTCTGGATGCAGGCCCTCCTGGATATGTGCAGCAGGCACTGAATATTCAAGGTCCTGACTCCCTTAATGAACAGCAAGCACGCATCGAAGATCCAATACTGTGGAGCAGAAAATTCAGAAGGACAAATGTAACATGTGGGTATGAGCAACAGCTTAATAGTCTCAGAACTTGTAGCCAACATTAAGTCACCAACAGAAACACTGCCACAAATGGCTAACACAGGACGACTTAAGTAGATTGTCTAACAGAGCACGTTCTAAGTAAAGGAGAAGACCCAAACAAACCACATAAACAAGAATTCCGCCGGTATCACCGGTGGTTCGGCGCATAACCGTGTGCCCAGCCTAAACTACCCCATAAGTAACAGGGACATGGACAACCCTTTCTCAGGTAGCGACAACCTAAGAGGGGTGACGGTAAGGTTGCTCATTCCTCGTTGAAGATAAAATCCCGGGCATATACTTCTGGAATGATACAGAAGCTGCATTCAATACCATGCCGAAAACAACGACCGAGTTAGGGGAAAATAAGTCCTCCGTCACTCTTCGGGTCGTTAATATAACCCTCGTCGCGAATTTCATGTAGAAGACACTGATTCTTCACCTTCTGTTTAAGCAATGGATCTCATGAATTTTCACTGTTAATGGCTCCGACGTAGCATTCCTCTGCAAACACTTCCTGGAAAGGTGTGGCCTACTGATGGATACCAAGAAAAGACGAATGACAGTGTCAGAAACATCCTGCGGTTGCAAAGCGAGCAGTTATCGTCTGATAAACCTAGTCAGATCTCAGGCAACAGCGAAAAAAACACTCTGGAAGACACCAGAGAAATTTCCAACTTTAATGGCAGCTGACACTCAAACATCCTATGTTGGTCCAAAGATAATACCTTTTAAGGAATCATGGCTCACACGTTTTCTGGTAAACCAAGGGAGTTAGCCCTAGAAAAAAAACAAAGAGAAAGTGTGCCAGGAAGTACGATGGTTAAGCTGCAAAAGTGACTTCGAGTAACGTGAATATGGAAGACAAGTGACTGGGCACATTGATTGCGACCCCTTGCGGAGCCTGTAATAAAGTTCATGTAGTCATACCTATTTCTCTGTATACAGGCTGATAAAGCGGTATTTGTGGTGGAATTACTATAAGCCACTGAAATAATAATCAAAACATAAAATGAAATGTGCTATATTTCGTCATACGGGGAACATACCAACTATATTGTGAAACCCACAAACATAGTTCTCAGCATGCTTTGTGCCACAGTAAACTTAATGAACAGTGTAGACGTAGTGCTGAAGTTTTCTGTGTGGTTGTGTCTTCTACACGATGTCTTCGGAGCATGTATAGAAACGAAGCCTGTTTTGGAAACTTCCACGAGACAAATAACTATCTTTCCTGAAGACCGTCATTGTGATGTATTATCTCCAAAGGCTTTTGATTATTGTATTCACTTGCGTTTCCATCCAACGTTTCGCCAACCCAATATGCATCCTTCCTGGCAAGTGAACTCGTTATTGATCGACAAATATAACCTTAAACAATATTTCTGTTGAGTGATAGTTCATCCATAAACCATGATTCTAGGAATTCGCTGGCATTCTTGTAATTTCTTCCGTTTCAAATTTTCTAAGTCAAAATACTCCCTGTAGCTGTCTAAATGTATCGATGTGAAGAAATATATGTCATGTGTTTTAAAGGACACTTTATATTTTTCCTGCTGAGAAATAAGAAGGAATGTCCATTCCGACCAGTATGGTGATTTTCATAATCGACGTAATTTATTTTGTGTGCTGTGTTCACTTCGGCTTTGAGACTTTTAGGAGTGGCTTTATTGCATATAATAATAATAGTATATTCTCATTTTTACATGAGGGACGCCAGTTTACAGGCATCATCAATATGATAAATTACATATACGAGTAGTAAGCATATTTAATAATAGTAATTTAATAAAATAGATTTTTTCCTACCTGTGTAGGACACACCAATTGTACAGGCATGGATAAGTATCATTTAAATTACATAAATTTGGTTCATGGTAAAATTATAAGGTTGCAGTCATTTTGTCTATGGGAACAATATGATAACTAGTCATTCAATGGAGCACATCAAGAAATATAGAAATATTGTCTTCGCATTAACAAAAAAACCCAAGTATGTTTTGGATGGATTACAAATACTTGGGAAAAAATAAAGCTGAAGTAATTCCTCCATATAACTTGGTGTGTACGGCATCGAGTCTTATTCTTGATTTATATCCAAATTTGATAATAATTTAAATTAAGTAATACATTATAATAATTATAATTGTAGTTTGTTGTAACTATACTTAATGAACTTAAATATCTATTGCGAAAAAGTGGGTGTAGTTCAGACGCAGAAGTGCACTGTCATCTTTGAGCAGTCTGGTGACTGAGGAGATGAACACTGCGAGTGTGTTTGCATCGCGCACATCAGCTGGTAGTCTATTCCAAATGACTGAAAACTTATTTAAGAAGAAATTATACCGCATGTGAGTCTGACAATGCTCTATAGCAGCTAGGTTGTGATGATTTCTTAGATTGTAACTGATGACAGCGGTAGGTTTAATTTTGGTCGGAGGAGTGCACGAGCAGATTAGTAGCTTGTAGTAAAAAATCAGGTTTAGCTTAAGACGTCTTTTCCAGAGTGGTTCTAAACTTAGTCTGTCGCAACGTTCATAGTATTGGAGACCGCTTTCTAAACCAAGAATTCTTAAGGTGAATTGCCGTTGCACTCCTTCTAACTTAAGCTTGTCATTTTGTCTGAGTCCGCTAAGAATAAACGGGCAGTATTCTAAAATAGGTCGGACACATACTTTATATAATAAAACCCTAGTTTCACAACAAAGGAAATTGCGAGTTATGCATCCTAGGGGCCTTCGTGTTTTACGTCTGGCATAATCAGTTTGTTCAGAGAACGTTAAGTTACTAGAGTATCTGAACCGAGATCTACGACCGAGTTGAGCTTGGCTAGTTTACGCCCATTTATTTCAAGATTCAGGTCAAGGTTACTGTTTCCGATACAAATCCAGCCGCATTTATCAATGTTGAACTTTAGACAGGATTCAGTACACCATGTTGCGAGACCACTTAGTTCAAGATGTATTTTATTTACCATATCGCTTAGTTCATGAGCGTAGCAGGAGTAAACGACTTTGAGGTCGTCAGCATATAGGAATGATTTACCTGAGGTGAAGCAGTTGCAAATGCTGTTAATGTATACTGTAAATAAAAGTGGACCTAGGACACTACTTTGCACAACCCCACTTGTGATCTGCCTAGGATGAGACAATACAGATCCAACCTTGGTTATTTGTACCCTATTGCTTAGAAACGATTTTAACCAGCTCAGTAATGGATTGCGAATCCCACATGAATACAGCTTCTCAAAGAGAATACTGTGAGATACCACGTCAAATGCCCTAGATATCCCCGCTATGATGCTTGTTGCTATGCCGCTATGGGTTTCAAGTGGCCTACGTTTTGAGGGAAGATTTAATTGGTGTAATATGGCGATTTCATAGACAAAACTTAGGCTCATAGGTGAAAGAAAGTTATTATCCTGGAATAAGCACAAGTTGTTCAGAAGGTAAGGAGGACATTATTTTTCAGTTTATTCGTATATTAACTATTGCGCAGCCAGTTGCACTGAGTTCTTAGTGCAACTGTATGTAACTGCATTTACATAAAGTAAAAGATTACGAATGCTCCTGTTTTCAGAATAAAAAGTTTAACAGCATACGGGAATTACTTAACATGATTCTCAGATGTCCTTACGTACCCGATCACAAGGATGGTATTCAAATCCACCAAATTAGTAGAATGTTCAAGTGTGCAGTTAACTCAGTTAAAAATTTCAGCAGAAAACAGTGAATGTTGCAAGTGATCGTAATACATATTGCAGTTTCTGCCCAGTTGTGAACACTAATCTTCACTTGTATTCATTCATTCCATTGACTTTTAGCGATCAAAAAGC